TCAACTGTCTGGAATGGGTATCAACTTTGATGATGAGGTTTTGGGACTATGGCTATTGAATACTCTACCTGAGTCTTGGGAGACATTTCGGGTTTCAATTACAAACTCAGCTCCTAATGGTGTTGTTTCTTTGTAAATGGCAAAGAGTGGTGTTCTTAATGAAGAGATGAGAAGGAAGGCACAGGGTTCTTCATCTCAGTCCGTGGTATTTTTCACAGAAAATAGGGGGAGAAGTAAGAAAAAGGAACCGAAGGGTGGTAGAGAAAAGAGCAGGAGTAAGTCCAAGTCAAGATACAAGAATGTGGAGTGTTATTACTGTCACAAAACAGGCACATTCAAAAGAACTGTTTTCTTTGGAAAAAGGAGAACAAAGGCAAGAAGGGCAAGCAGAAAGAGAAGGATCATGATGATGATGATCGTGTCACTACTACTAGAGGTGATGATCTTGTTCTTCTTCGTGACTATGAGTCTGTTAATCTTGTATCTGATGAGAGCATGTGGATAGTTGATAGTGGTGCTACACTGCATGTTACACCAAGGAAGGAGTTCTTCACATCTTACAAGATCCTCTCATACAAAACGAGATTTTGTATGGAAGAAAAGATAAAGAATGAAAAAGGAGAGAAAAAATATAAGAAGAGACAAAGGAATGAGTAGAAATTCATGAAGAGTTTTTTTAGATAAAATTCTGATTGGACTCATCACTCCATAACAAATAAATTCTCTTACATCAATAAAACAAACAAAAAGAGGAGAATTCTTAAACTTAATATTTATCTATTCAAAGATTTATATTGGAACAGAGGTAACAAGCAATTTGAGTGACGGAGAAACTAGTAGAGAAGGGTAACGCCTTTGGGAGGTTCCAAGAGTTTTTTTTTAAGAGACATGAGGGAGGAGAACTGAGCTTCAAACTACATTTTAGGCGAAAAGACAGCCCAATGCAAGCCCTCTTCATTACTGGGCTTTTTGTGCTAAATGGGCTGAATAGCTTAGGAGTCGTTTGTTTCTCCTGCACCTATTTACTGGGTTGGGTTAGTTTTTCTAACCCTTGGAAGCTCTTAGATTTGGTGAGGTTGTTGGAGATGTTACAAATTTGCCGCAGAATGTTGTCATCTTTAGTTTGAGCATGGCATCTTTATGTTTAATACATTTTAAAACTCAAAAAAGACAAATTTTAAAAAATATTTTTAATTTAGTGAAAGATAAGAAACAAAAAAAGTTATTCATTTTTATCAACATATCAATATATAGATAAATTGAACTCCTATCAACATACTTAGATTACATGATTATCTAGTAAATGTGTCTGATTTCGTTAATTAATTTTCCGTTAAACGACTATTTGCAATGAAAATGTTTTGGATTCAGTTGTGAGCATCGTTCTGTGTCTTTAACTCATTATCATTTTACAATTAAGACATTGTTTATTCGTATTACAGCTAAAAAACAAAAGGGATTTATTAGAAAGGGACAAATCAAATAGACAGCCAAAATGTGCAATATATAAGTATATACATGGACAGGGTTTTTTAAAAAAGGTGAATAGCCAATTTGACCATGAAAGAGATACCTAGACTTTATAAATTACTGATTTTTATATTCAATGAAAAAACTAAAATTTTTTATACATTTTTTTAAAAAATTAAACAGGGTCAAGTGGTATTTTTAAACAATCAGGCTGATTATGTGCTCATTCAAGAAATAAACTCTACAGTTTTTTTCAAAGATGATTTGCTTTACAATATATTCATTTTGTTGTGGAAGAAAAATATTAAACTGATTTTTCAATTGAAGCTTTTTGTTTTCTTCTTTTATAAAACAGAAACAAATCTATACCAGAAGCCAAGACAATGCTGCTAAAGTGCAAAGCTAAGATCATGGAATTGCACTTTCAATATAAAACTTCAAAGGCAGCCACCGCCAGTGAAACAGTCACTCTCAATTTACACAGACAAACCAGAAAAGAAAAAGATATTTTATATCCACCATAAAATGTTCAACATGTGGTGCTCTCTCAGCCACAACATCATATTTTATATAATTGAAAACTAATGTCTCAACTCTTATGAAATCACAATTCATTCACTAATTCATCATAGAATTAAACACATGATACTACTAGCTGGTTTAAAAGAATATAATTAAACTAAACAGTAACACTAATAAAATATACACTTAATTAGAGGGGCGGCATTAATTACATGTCCATTCTCACCATAATCATCATCTTCTCCCACCCTTTTCCTTAATAATTCTCATCATAAACCTAATGTTTATATTTGCTGGTCCATGTTACCAGGGTGGTTGGAAAATAAAGTCCCTTACGTTTTTCTAATCCCATATACTCTGTAAAGAGGACCAACTATTTTGGTCCCATACAATAAAGTCCCTTACGTATTATTATTATTATTATTATTAATTGATAATTATAGATGAAGGATTCTAATAACTGTTCATTATTATAATGTATTAGGGCTTAATACTTCAGCAATTCACCTAATGAAGGGATGAATTAGTTTGTTTAGATGTGAGACGCTGTGTCCATGCACTGAATTTCTTAGTTCCTCTCCAAATGCCTTGGTGATTTATTTCCTCCCACTAATAAGGTCACAGAATCTTAGTTGTAAAAGATTTGGTACAGTAAGAACAACGATAAAAAAATTTAAAGAAAAAATTTCAATTTTTTTTTTAATTTATACTTTGTTTGATTAAAAAGGTACAAAGAGGAATAAATAATAGTTTTTATTTTTTCTTTCGATACTTTAGCTATTTTATTTTGCATATTTTTCACCAATTTTACATCCATTGGAGTAAATATTCTTCTACAAATACTTTATATTTGTCCAATATAAAAATAAAACTATTGGCTTGTTTCCCACTCCATTTTAAAAAACGATACAAATTTGAAATGTTATAAAACTAAAAAGAGGAAACAAAAATAAGGGCAGGTACTTTTTTTTTTGGGTATTATTTATATCAACTTTTAAAAAAGACAAAAATCAAAACTAAAATAAATATCAGCCACCAACTTTAAATAGGTTTTCCAAATCCGTTTGAAATAGTTATGACATAAGACTTAATTAACTGCCCAATTAATTATTAAATTTTATAACCAAATAGAAAAAGTGACCTCAAACTTGTGGCAAGGATCGCTTAATCACCCTCACTGTGTTCAAAACCCATATGATTTAAGATAATTAAGTTTCTCTGGCACGTCTTCGTCATCAACAAAGATAACAACTACCTCTTATATTTATAATAAGTGCACTACTGAAAATAATAATGATTGCTAACTTTCTTTTGCTTTCAGGATAACATATCTTAGTCTCATGTTCTTTTATTACGCTAATTTTTCTTAAGAGAAGCTAATTTTGGTGCATCATTTCAAACTGAAATAGTTCTACAGGTAACTCAAATGCAATTTCGTACTCTACATTTCTTCTGATAACAATGTTGTGAAACTCTCCGATCACGATCAAAGAATATGTGTGAGAGAGTTTTTCTTCACAAATACAAGTACTTATAAAAAAATAGTTGAACGAATTTAAAATATTTTAAATAAAGTTCACCTATTCTTATACCAAAATTTGATGAGTGACATTCTTCTTTAAATGGCTACACATTCTAAAATTAAAAAAATAATAATTTCATATCGATATGTACGTAACTGAGAGGCTTAAATACATTAATTTATTACATTTCCCCCATGTGCTATGAAATTAAACAAGATAAAGTTAAGTGCGTGGAAAGAGTATGGAGGACCCATGAGTAAAACACAAAGGGACCATAGCCATTAATAATCCAATGCCAAACTAGTGACAGACAGGGCAGAAGAAACAGTAGAAGCTGGTGTTGCTGCTTAATTTGCCATTCTAATAATTCCCATATCAACATGCCAATGCCTTTTGCAATTTTTTGCACTTGCCCATAACCACATGTAATCGTTGATACATAAAAAAAAAATTCTTAAGGTCACACTGGCCATTAATTTAACAGAGGAAGTTATTAATATACTCTTTAACATTTTTTTAATTATTAATTAAAATTTATTAAAAATTGTAAAAGTATAAGAAGAAAACGTTAATTTAAAAGTAAAAAAATTTAATTTTTTGTATAATTTTTAATAAATTTTAATTATAATTAAAAGTATGTTAAAAAAAAGTGTGTTAACTATTAATTAGCTGCTGCTGCTAATGTGTGTTTGAATGTCAACAATGTCCGTTGGAGTTGTCACCCTGGCGTGGGGCCATGCAAGCGAAATCAAGCTAATAGGGGCGGCAAAATATTACGTAAATCATGTCATTGTCCATACACACAAACAAAAGCACATATGTTATTTTTTTACACATAAACTTTAGAAGAATTAGATGGTGTCCTATTTTGAGTTAAGGAAATTTTTTAACTTAAAATATACTTATAAAGAAATGTATATTTGTTTTATTTTAAAAAGATAAATAAAAGTTTAAAATTAGAGTTTAATTTTACTATATTACTATTATAATGACTTTAATTAAAATAAACAGTAAATATATTTCTTATTTTAATTATTATAAAAATGTTTTTTCTATTTATATGACAATTTATGATATAATGCATAAAATTCTTTTACACTGTCGATGTATTTTAATTAAATTATTAAAATTATAACATACTAATTGCAATATTTTGCCTTCTTTTATTATTTAATTATGTATTTGTCTAAGTTATTTTATGAAATAAAACCTTATTTAAAATGAATAAATAATATTTAAATATTATATTAAAAATTCCATCAATTTTTTTATATCTCCACTAAACGCTTTAACAAAATTACTTTATTTTGTTAAAAAAATAACTCGAATAAACCCTTTAATTATTTGATTCACTACCATAGTTTCTCTCTTTCTTTCATTACTTAAATACCACCACAATCCACTCCACTTTGGCACACGCATAGAACTAGCTATAGTATAGCTAAGGCACCCACCAACTGAGGCAGTGAGAATCAACCAAAGAAGATGGCTAAAGATGTTGAGGTTCAAGAGCAAGGAGAATACTCAGCAAAAGACTATCATGATCCACCTCCAGCACCGTTGTTCGACCCAGAGGAACTCACACAGTGGTCCTTCTACAGAGCTCTCATAGCTGAGTTCATAGCAACCCTTCTCTTCCTTTATGTCACTGTGTTAACCATTATTGGCTACAAAAGCCAGATTGATCCCAAAAAAGGTGGCACTGACTGTGATGGAGTTGGCATTTTGGGTATAGCTTGGGCCTTTGGTGGCATGATCTTCATCCTTGTTTACTGCACCGCCGGTATTTCTGGTACTGCTTCCTCTCTTCTCTTTTACAGTACCACAAACACATGCACCCTTCGTATTATATACGTAGCAAACATTTGTGCTTGTTTTGTTCCATAAAACGTTTTCTGCTTCATTTTTTGTTTTTAGTTTTAATTATCAAACCATCACTTAATTCTTATTGTGTTTTTTGTTTTTAAATATTTGTTTAAGAAACAGTCAAAATAGAAAAAATAATATTTTTTATAAAAAAAATTTGAAAATACGAAATAAAATAAAAATATGGTGACAGCTTTGTAATTAAAATAAAAAACAAAATAATTTGTATACCAAATAACCCTGAACATATATACAAATTGCAACACACACTTCAATACTAGTCAGAAGAAAAAAATTTATTAAAACAAAATTGGTGGTGGTTGTGATGTTTGGAAGAATTTTAATTTTACATAATTTATTCAAAATGATTTTTGAAAAAAATTCACACATAATTTTATGAAAGTGCCTAATTATATAAGTAGGTTACTTTGGCTTTTGGCATGACCATCAAAAAGTTGTAATGCTGTATGTGAATTTGAAATGATTTTTATGTAATGTATATATTTATATATATGCATGCAACAAGAAATTATAAGTTAATTTGTGGAATTGGTGTTGTAGGAGGACACATAAACCCGGCTGTGACGTTCGGGTTGTTCCTAGGACGCAAGGTGTCATTGATAAGGGCATTTCTATATATGGTAGCACAGTGTGCTGGTGCAATCTGTGGCACTGGATTGGCCAAGGCCTTCCAAAAATCATACTACGACAGGTATGGAGGTGGTGCCAACTCTGTGGCTGATGGCTACAACAAAGGCACTGCTTTGGGAGCTGAGATTATTGGTACCTTTGTTCTTGTCTACACTGTCTTCTCTGCCACTGATCCTAAGAGGAACGCTAGGGACTCCCATGTTCCTGTAAGCTGAGAATATATTTTACTATTAACCATTCCTATTCCCTTGTTCTGGAATATCATATCCCTCTTTCACTTTATTAATCTCTTTGGTTTATGCTTGCATGAATTGTGTCCAAAATTATGAAGGTACTGGCACCACTACCCATTGGATTTGCTGTGTTCATGGTTCACTTGGCTACAATCCCAGTCACTGGTACTGGCATTAACCCAGCAAGGAGTTTCGGAGCAGCTGTTATCTACAACAAAGACAACATCTGGGATGACCAGGTAAGCATCATTCATAAACTAAAGAAATAAAGTAATTATTTTGCTATATTTAAAAGATTTTTTTAAAAGAAAATGTTTATTTATTTTTAAATAAACGGAATCAAGCATGCCTTGAAAGTTATTATTTGCAGAAATAGTCACTTGTTTTTAAATTTTTTTAAGAGAATATTTAAATGAAATAAAGTAATTGTTTTCTTAAGAGAACTGTTTCCAAACACATATTTATTACCTTTTTAATTTTTTTTACCAAAGAAAATAAAATGATCTTGAAAGTTATGTATGTTGATATATATATATATATATATATATATATATATATATATAGTAGTCTAATTATGGTGAATTAATGGTTTGATGATCAGTGGATTTTCTGGGTGGGACCAATTGTTGGAGCAGCAGCGGCTGCAATCTACCATCAATACATTCTTAGAGCAGCAGCCATCAAAGCTCTTGGATCCTTCAGGAGCAATGCTTAATTCATTAAGCAAATTCGCTTCTTAATTTGCAAGGTGTTTCCCCCAAAGAATAATAATAATTTCAATGTTGAGGAGTGCTAGTCTGTCTCTGGGGTCCCTTATTTAATTAGGCTTTTTTCGTCTTTTCCTTTCAGCTGATGCTGTTTGGTGTTTGTAGGATAAAGCCAAAACTAAAGGGCCATCAAATTGTAGATAAGCATGGTTGTGTCCAAGGGTTTATTTTGTATCCCTTTTTTGTCTTTTCATTTTTAATTTCCATGTATGTATTCCTCAAGTGTCCCTTTTCTGTGTCGTGCATCTTAGTAATTTTTCATTTTGCCCTTCATATTTAAGCGGTATATTCATCATCCTATGTTTCCAATTCCTCATCAAACTTTGCTTGTTTAATCATCATTGGTATATGTATATTGACTAGAGTGTCACTTTCTATAATAATCAATAAATGAAACCTTCGTCTTTAATATGTTCTTTAAAAGAATTCGGATCCTTTCTCGTGGTGCATTTCTCTGTGGCAAAAATTTACCCTTCAAATTTTCATATAAAGATTATAAAATATTGTAATATTTTATAGTTACTAAATCACACGTTCAACTTTAGGCAATTTTTTGGCTAGAAAGAACTGTACGACCGCAAATAATCTGTTTTGTCTTTAAAAATCATGAAATTTTATGACTGTATCTAGGGAAGAGGCAATAAAACATCCTTGTATTCTAATTGTTCACTATTGGAATTGAGGGATAGAAGAGTAGAAAAATGGAAATTTCAATCTCTAGTTAAATATAGGTCTAATTCTTGAACTTTCCTTTTGGCTTCTATCACAGAATTAGGTGTGCTTCACCATTGATTTTTGGCTTTGAAACAAATGCAAGTGTCCCTTTGGAATTAGGCAAAAAGTGTTGTCCTTCAACTCATCAATTCAGCTTTACAAGATCATTTTGCGTAACTTACGCTTCTTGAACCTTCAAATTTGTCCTTTACCCCCAAAAGAACCAAACACATCCGTTCTCCCTTTCATTGCAATTACTATCTTCAATTAGGTGTCTAATCTTGACAACTGTTAATCTAACGTTGATAATAGATTTTTGGTGGGATGCTTATCCTAATCCTAATGTATATTAAACTAATGGAAATGAGTTAGCACTAGTGGAGGAGCTTAATTAGCCCCATAATTAAATTGCTACTTCACTCAAAAGCTCGCACTTTATTAGATAATCTAACTTAGCTTTTGTGGTGGTGGTTATTGGACGTGACATGAATTTTATTTTTAATTCATCGCTGTTGCTGGGGACACTATAATATACATAATGGAAAAGAAAGGGGAAAAGAAATAAAGACAAAAAAAGTAAACATGTTAGGTGGATGACTTCTCGGATTCCTTCTTATGTGTACCCCTCATTTCATATAATAGATTGGTGACCTAATGTACGTTATCTTCACCATATTTCATGTCTTCATGGTTTTGTGAACATTTTTTATGGCCGATTAGGTGCGAGTATATATGTATATAAAGCACTAGGTGTGAGTTATATTTTTAGTAATTTGGTTTATGGGCAATATTTATGTTTAAAAAGGCATATATTCATCGCTATAATAATATTGATGAACCCATTTAAGAGCACTTATGAACTTTGTCTTCTAATACTATCCATGAAATCAGAATACTAATTCAAAAACATATAAAATAATATTTATTGCACAAATAGAGGTTTAATAGGAAACCATCCTTCCCAACACAGAAACTCCCTTCTTATAATTGGGTTAGCCATAATTATTGTGAAGCTGGAAAAAAAATAGAGAAAAAGGAAGCTTGACTTCGTTGTCTCCACATCTTTTATCCGATAAAGTCACAAAAAAAAATAAAAAATCAAAAGAAGTAAAGAAATGTTTAGAAAGGAAAAAAAAAATGAAAGCTAAAAGAAAAAGAAAATAAAAGTAAGGGTTTTGGCCCATATTGTATTCTCTAGCGGATATCCATGGTTAAGGAACACGAAGGTGATGGAACATTTGAGATTGTTTTTAGAGAAACGGTCGTAATCATGTAATGTTCTTAAGTTAAGTATCTTAGAAACAGTAAGATTCTGACATATTAGCAACTGATAGAACCTTCATTAGTGCCTAATAATCATATTAAGCCAACGTGTTACTTCCGAAGCCTCTTGAACCAACCCAATATTCTCCATTTTGCCTAAACAAGAAGCTTTGAAATATAGAATTTCATGATAATGTAAAGACCTTTTTTTTATATCGTTAATTAATTAAAATATATTGTAAATCTATTTGTTTTTATGAATTACTATAAAAATTAAGTATTCTTGTTTATATGACAGTTTATAATTATAGGATGGTACATATATTTTTTACACTATCAGTATAATTAAATTAAATTTTATTTAAAATTGTATATATGAAAATAATCAAATATTGTATGAATAAAATAATAAATAAATTTTAAATTATATTTTGTCACTTTAAAATATTTATTGTCAATCTTCATATTTTTATTTAAGTATATTATTAATTTAATTAATCAGTAAAAATTATTTTAAAAAGAGTGTCGATGAACACTTTGAAGTGAAAATAAAGTCTTCGTCCATGAGACGTGTATTTACTTTTTAGACTATTTATTGTATTATTTAATTACAGTTATTGATATATATCAAGGTGTATTAATACTTTTTTTTTACAAATATATATATATAATATAAAAATTGTTAAATTTAGTTTCTAAAACTAGATCTAAGTAATTAATAATAAAAAATTATATCAAAAAATAAACTTTAGAATAATATTTTAATTTATTTTCATTGCTGATTATAGCTGTAAATCTTTTCTAAATTTAAAATTTAAGATTTTCTAAATTTAAAATTTTGTGTTATTTGATTGAAGATAACATGAAAAGAAAAATAAGAAAATAAACAATGAACATAGTTATATTTGTTGTAAGTTTTTTTTTTTATATTTAAAAACCTCAATACCAGGTGTTTAACAAAAATCACAATTATATTTGGTAAAAAACTAAAAATAGTGATATGGATCTAACAAAAAAATTAATCAAACATTCATATGACTTACTTTAAGTCATTCAATAAATTCATTTTAAATTTCAAGCAAATTTATTACAATATTATGAGCTAAGAGGCTTAAAAAAACTTTAAATAGACAAATTTAAGAACATTTGACTAATGATTGAGCTATTAAAAGAAATCATGGTTAGAATATATTTAAATAGAAAGTATGTGTGTTGGATGATACATGGGCATATTTTAGTTGATGTTATTATTTATTAATTTAATTAGAATTTGAGGTTGATTTCATAGTGATTTGCGATTGATAATGATATATTTAAATTTATTTGAGTATAATTATTTTCTCTATTAGCATTATTATTTTACCATGTTATTATGATTTATTTTAAATTATATTATAATTTATTATTATTAAGATTTGTTTTATATTATTGGAAATTGTTTTTTTCTTCAAATAAAAAGTTGTGTAATTTACAAGTTGAAAGTTAAATGAAGATCAAGTTTACTTTAAATTGTGTGAGTTTTTCTTTTAATTTTAGGCAAGGAAATAACATGATTTTATCTATATAACTTGTGAGAATCAACTTATAGTTATTACTCACTTTCTCTCTTTCGTTTTTTTTTTTAATATTTAAAGGAAGAATTTTTTCACCCATAATGATTTTATTTAGTTCAAACAAGATTTGTTTCTAATAAAAAACATATGTGGTCTAAACAAAAAAAAATTATATAAATATCAAAATAATTTTTTTTGTTTAATATCAAATAATGTGTAAGATAATTAAAAGTTGAGAAGGTAAAAATTAAAATATTAATTTTTGGCTAAAATTTATCAATTTGCCAAGTTAAAACATCTACTAAAATCAATTATTAAATTGGTTTATACATATTCAAATATATAAATAATATTTTTATATAAATTCTATTTTATATTTTATAGATAAAAATATAGTTGTATGTAATTAAGGTTTTATGTTTTTAAATTAATTTAAATTCTTATAATTTTTTACTTAAAAGTAAAAAATATTTTTAAAAATAAAGAGTAATAAAAAATATATAATGTAATATTAAATGAGATATTGCATTATTTATTAAACAATATATATATATATATATATATATATATATATTACTGTTAATCTATTATTTATTAAAATTTTAATCAAGTCTAAATGGGTCATCATTTTATTTATTTTTTGCTAGAAGGGTCATCATTTGTTTGTTGAAATGTAAACAGACTTATAATATATATAGACGTGACCATGTCCTTCTGGATTCTATATGGGTTATCATTTTTTTTTGCAAAAAATGGAAACCTTCAGTTTAATTTGAGATTGCATCAGCCAATTTAATTTTTTATTTTATGAAATATTTATTTTTGCTATTGACTTTGAAACATATGTTTATTTGGTTCATTTTTATTATCATTTTACATTAAAAATAAAGTAATAGTATTTTATAAAATCAAATACTAAGATAAAGATTCCATAAAGTAAAGAGAGAATTTTATAAAACAATAAATTGAAGTGATTGTCATTTACAATTTTAGGGATTAGAATAAAGGTTTACTTGTAAAAAATGACAGTCAATTAATTAAGCACATATAAATCGCTTAACACAGATGAACAAGGAAAATTTATTATAATAAATTTGAATAAATATTTTCTATGAATACTATAAAAAAGAGAGCAACTTCCTATTTTTTTAATACAACGCACATAAAATTTATCAAATAATAATATTTCATTAAAAAGTGTTAATAATATTTTTTTTTCTAATTCAGTACAAATCAAACAATCCAGATGAGTTATGGGCGAGGCTTATATGTGATTTTATTTAACACATTTCGACAATTTTGATTTAGAATCTCTCACTGCAAATGTTAACATGGACGCTGCCATGGAGGGAGGAGTAAAGAGAGCCATAAACTTTTGCTGCCCAAAGGCGTGAGAGGGAAGTGAGCAGAGCAATAGAAAAGGAGAGAAAGCATGAACACTGACATGATTTTTAATCAACATCACATCATATTCACAAATAAGGAGTGGCTGAGTGGGAAGAAGAACATTATAATGCATTTGCTATTAAGCTTGCATGCGTTTTGTGCCCCTGCAATAATGTCACAGTGCAGGCCAGCAACACCCTTTGCTGCCCCTCTAAGCTAAGGCAACCTTATGCTTTAATTACTTATAGTTTTCCGCTTAGCGAGAAAGCAAAGCACAAACCTTTTCAGTAACATAATATGCATAGCTATTAATTAAGCCTCGTTCTCATAAGTAATTGATATTATTGTTATTATTATTAGCTAACATTTGATTATTCACACAGTAACACGTGTGGATAGACTCTGAGAACGAGTTTGTAAGTTGAAACGTAGTAAGCTGCATTGAATGCTATGCATGGATAATTTTTTTTTCACTCTCTTTATATTTTCCCCAAGTGGATGATTAGTGCTTTAACCGTGGAGCATGTTAATGTTCCAATGATTTTGGAGGCATTTGAGAAGCAGTTTAATTACATGTTTATTCAATAAACTTCGTTTACTTGATGGTCTATCATATAAATTTGATCATAAACTTTATTAGAATAAACTTAAAAAACTTATAAAAAATCATAAATTATTTTTATAGACTATTCGTAAATGTTTTCAAACAGTCTCTATAACTGCTAGTCCCTCATCAATGCTTACTTGTATGCATTAGAGTAGGGCACTGCTTAAGCACAACCCTGAGAAAATAAGCACTCTAGTTGTTACTCAAGTATAAAGCATTATTGTGCCAAGCGCCTAGCAAGTTGAAACCCCTGGTGGATCTCTTCTGGGTGGACTTGACTCGATACTAGAACAATCCGTCAATGGCTGACCTCCTTATACATCTTTACTGACATTAGTAATTTTTCATGCCATTGATGAGCCCTCATTTAGTTTAAACTTTTACCGACTACCCGCCCCATAAATAAATAAACAAATAAATAAAGCATAAGCATAATTTTTCCTCAAGTATAAGCATAATATTTTTCTTACAAACCTTCAAAACTTCCTCTAAGTACTGCAGTAATAAACTCTTCATCCACGCATAATTAACATAAACCACGGGCAGTTTAGGGAATGCAAAGGTGTCATTTTCAACATTGGGGTTGGGGTCTTCTGAAAGCATAATCCATAATTCTGTCCCCCCCCTCCGCCCCCCCTCTCATTAGCCTTATTTTCCCAAAACATAAATTCGAGTTCATGGAACAACCACTTATTCAGGCCACACCCCCCCCCCCCCCCCAACATATTTATAAAGAGCAGGGCAATTCATCCACAAGTTTTCATCCAAAAGCTACCAGCTTTTCTGCTTCCAAGTGATTCACTCAAAACCAAAGACACAAACATGAGTTCAATTGCTTTGTCCTTCCTCTTCCTCGTTTCTATAGCACTTCTCTCTATTGCTACAGGCCAAGAAAGGGCCCCTCATGGGCTTGTATATGAGAGCCCTGTAGCTTTTCCACCATCAGCATATGACTTCTTTCATCCCAATACACGAAAGCCTGAAGCCAGAGACCCGTGCACTGCATCCAAATGTTCACCACTGCCTATAGCTGCTCAAGTGGAAGCCACTCAAATATATGAAAACAAAGCATCAACAATGCAAAAAGGATGGAAAAAAATCGGAGCTGGTGGTGTAGCTGGCATTATCATTGCTGTTGCTTTTGCTGTACTGTAAAGGTCACTCGCCAAGCAAACATGAGTCGAGCAAATAATAGTGTTCAATCTCATGCTTGGTGTGCCGTCTTTAATTACATCAGAATCTAAGCTTAGAACAAGGCATGAATACCGTACCTCTTCACCCGAATTCCCCAAACGTCATTTCCCTAACCATATATATATATAGATATATGTGTGTGTGTATGTATCTCACTTTCTTTTATCCTAGCACTAGTTCCCTTTCCCGTTGTTGATGGTTAGCAATGTATCTACAGTTATGATAGCGATAAATTTGGATGTTCTCGCAGTTATCTGTGCATGCCTTCAATTTCTTACCAACTACTACAAATAATAATAGATAAATTCAATGCGAGGCGACATTAAGTACAAAATAGCAGAACCTGGACCAATCAAACATAAGTCATGAACATGAATTTTGGGCAATTTTCCTCCTGATTCATTGCCCAGCAGACAAACGATAAACAGAGAAACCCACAATTTGTCGTCCGTGATAATAAACCTAAGTCTTTATCTTTATCTCTTTAATCACATCAATTTTAGCTAGTGGCAAACTACATAGAAAGCACATACGAACATGAATCTTCTTCCACATAAATTCCGCCACTATATCTTTTGTACTGATTAAGATAAGTTAAATTTAAGATTTTTTTTATAAAAGGAACAAATACAAAAGAAAAACTATGATCTTCGGATTTCACTATTACACTTCCTAAAATGAAGTCGTTTCTAATTTACAGTACCTGAACCAAATTTGAAACAATGATGAAATGGCTTCTTCTTTAGGATCTATTCTATCTATTTCCCCAAAGTTATTAATTTCCATGCAATTTCTTAATTGTTGCTTTATTCATTACTAGCTTTCCTCTCTTAGAACTTGAACATGAGAACTGTCCAAAGTCCAAACCCCAATATGATTGAAAATCCCATCAAGACAATGCCGACCAGTGTGTGAATCATTAAGTGTATTTTACATTTTCATTGACAACAGGCACTTGCAATATGCTAAGAGGACACCATTTCAGACATAGAGATAATGTAAGTAAATTCTATTGAAGTGCTCCAGGAAAGAGAAACCAAATATATTGATTCATATATTAAAGTGACACATAAGTATTGCAAAAAGCATTACATTGGTCTTCAAAAGTCATTAGCACTGCCTGTGGCTGTGGGCACAACCATTTAACAAACAATTCAGAATGTCAAGGTGAAAATGATATCACAATTACAAGAGATAGCATTAAAAACAAATCACTCATAACATTTCTACCATCCTCGTGAGCTGAGAGACTTTATCAAAGGTCCAAATGTCTGATCCACAGTTTTGTTCCATAAATGTGCAAATTCAGAACGTGCTTTCTTCCCGAACATGGGTTCTCTGACCTGGTAGAGCATGAATGCTGAACATTTAGAAATTAAAAATACCAAACCACACTTGAATTTTGAATTTTGAATTTTGTAAGTCAAAATTAAGGGTGACACCGTATGGTAGATTGAATGCCCATCATTTCAAATATAATGCAATTCATGTGGACTTTCAATTAGAAGGAAACTCTTCCAAGTAAAAGATAAGAATAACAAAACACATGGAAGTTCAAATTATTGAGCAAGGGAGTATAAAATTGAGTTGCATGTTATCTATATTCAGCATAATTGTTAGTTTGGCGACCTAGAAGTACAAGCCATGCCATGGTATGATGAACATACATGGCTTCATTAAGAAAACAGACTTAGTAATCTGAACCTAATATGTCATTATACTTACTTCTGTGGAAAACTTAACATCATGCACAATGACAGGCATGAACATTGTAAAAAATTTCATCTCTCATTTTGAATGATTTCCATGCAGTGAAGTGTGGCTGTATAGCAAACTGCATAAAAATCCTAGTAGCGAGGTGGTTGCAGTGATTAAGTGCATGTTTCAGCTCCCGAAATGCACATTTAAATAGCATACCCAGAAAAAAAAGTTTGGTTGAAACAAACTAAAATAAAGTTTACTCCTAAAAACATCTTTGACAATTGAAAAAAAATTGTAACTTCTGTATTAGATGGCAAATTTTATACTAAACTTTACTACAAGCTTCCTTTCAAAAAAATTCTATACATAAATCACATCATTTCAAATCTAATCTTAACAAAAACCAAATTTACAAATGCCAGCCATAGCGCAGATTACAACACAATCTAACATAAACATACAGACTTAGCGCTCCCCCAATACAACAAAATATGGAATTGCTTTATTAGAATTAAAAAAAAAAAAATACCCACAAAGTTTTGACATAATTAAGCCAAAAATTTGTCAAACTTAAAGGGTGGCTATTAGGCAAGTCAAATAAGCGGAGGCCATACCATTCATTCATTCATTCATTCAAGAGTCAATAATAATTTCTGCTATTTAGTATTTTCCCCTGAAACATGTAATGAGATAATTTGAATAGAGAGGAATGGATGAATAATAAGCGTTACCTGAGGGTGAGATTGGGTATTGGAAATGGAAGCATAGATGTATCTGCGTTGTTCCAATACTACCACCCCCGTTAATACCACTCCAAGTGAAGCTCCCAGTAACCGCTCCTATTCCCCCATTTGAAAACCCACCATCAATTTATTTTCTTTTGAATGGAAACAAAGCACAGATACAGAACCCTATATTAAAATCCTTAAGAAGAGGATTACCTGGGTGAGAATGCTAATCATCGTTTCTTTCCTTTTGTTTTCCTCCAACAGATTTGTCAGAACAATTTCTTTTTCTTTCAATTGCACTGTCGCAACCCAACAATGACTACGCATTCTACGATCTTGCTCCCGGGGAGGGTACGACGTCGTATTCCTCGGGTGCTCCTCCACTATTGGGCCTGCATATTGGACTTCCTAAACAACGACCGGCCCCCAATAGATTCTACACTTTGAATAAATTGTTTGCTAGCGCATATTTTTGTTTTCTTAGGGACAAAAAAAAAAAAAAAAAACCTACAATTTTTGTTTATTTTTTATAAGGAAAATTACATTCATATTCGAAGAAATTTAATAAAATATTATTATATATATATATATATATATATATATTATTTTAACTTAATTTTATTTTTGATCTATTATAATTTTGGTTCACCTAATTTTAATTATTTATAGTTATTCTTTTTAGTTTTTCAAATACTAAATTTAATTTTTTTCCTAAATTTCACTCAATATTTAATAAAAATATAATTGAGATATAATATTTTATTAAGTGATACGAATAAATGAAAAATATATAAAATGTGTATATAAAATATATAAAACATAATAAATGTCTTAATTTTAAAGTGAAAGATTTAATTTGAGTATTTAAAAATTATAAGAATTAAATATGAATAGTTAAAATTAAGAAGACAAAAATTACAGTATAGAATCAAAATAGAATTAATATTTTTATTTAACAGAATTTTTAAATAAAAATTTTAAAACGATATTAAATCATATTTATAGAGTATAAACGCATGTTTTTCCCCGACAAAATTGGTGATCGAAATTGATGATCATATAGGTGTACTTGTCATAAACTATGAGTAGCTTGTGAGCGTTGGTCAAAGCCTCTACGTATGACAACTCACAGAGTGAGTTAATTTACTTTATCTGCATCAAACTTTAGTCTTCATCTACATTTCCCCGCCGAACCCAACCATCTTGATCTCATCACAGATCACAATGCTAAGTCGCAGACGACTCGTCGTTTCGCTCTCGCTCGCCACTCTTCTATTCCTTTCCTCCTCCTCTCTCACTCTCTCCAAGAAAGCCCCTCAAAACGACGACGACGACGAAGATCTCAGCTTCCTCGAGGAACTCGATGACACCGCCACTTCACACCACAATTTCCCAGATCCCGACCACTTCCACGACGGAGAAGGCGACGACGATGACGGAGACTTCGACGACTTCTCCAGCTTCGACCCCTCGGTCGAGGAGGCGTACAAGGAGCCCGCGGTGGACGACAAAGACGTCGTCGTATTGAAGGAGCGCAACTTCACCACCGTAATCGAAAACAACGAATTCGTGATGGTGGAATTCTACGCCCCCTGGTGCGGTCACTGCCAGGCCTTGGCGCCGGAGTACGCCGCCGCCGCCACCGAATTGAAGTCCGACGGCGTCGTTTTGGCCAAGGTGGATGCCACTGTGGAGAGCGAATTGGCCGGCGAGTACGACGTTCAGGGTTTCCCCACTGTCTTCTTCTTCACCGATGGGGTTCACAAGCCTTACACTGGCCAAAGAACCAAGTGAACTCTCTTTTCTTTATTGCATGTTTGGATCTTCCAATCGATGTGGCATTGTTTTGGGTTTTATTTTTTTATTTGGAACTGAATTATTTGTGGCATCGCAATGCAGAGATGCTATAGTGACATGGGTTAGAAAGAAGATAGGACCTGGTGTGTACAACATAACTACGTTGGATGATGCTGAACGCATTTTGACCTCTGAAAGCAAAGTTGTTTTGGGCTTCCTTGACTCTCTAGTCGTAAGTTTTTTTCATTCATTTCCCGTGGTAACATTTTTGCTCAGTGTAGCCGTGAGATTTATTGGTTTGGGTTACTAAAACAAGATATCAAACGCAATTTGCTAGTGGGATTTGTTTACTTTTTTTATTTGGTAATTTAAGTGTCTGTATTTCAATATGGTTTCACGGTTTTATATTTATCATGATCATGCTTGGGTAAGTTTTGTGTAACATACGGTATACAGTTTTGTTTTCTAATCAATTAGTGTAATATAAGGGCCATTGGTTGTTGTTGATTCTCTAGATTAGACTTAGTGGATTTGGAATTTGATAATTCAATCTATGATACTGTTTTGTTAGGCCAGATGCTTTTTGCTTATCCTGACATAATATGCAGGGTGCTGAGAGTGGCGAGCTAGCTGCAGCATCAAAACTTGAGGACGACGTCAATTTTTATCAAACTACTGTACCTGATGTGGCAAAGCTTTTCCATATTGATCCAAGTGTTAAACGCCCTGCATTGGTCTTGCTCAAGAAAGAGGAGGAGAAATTGAACTATTTTGGTTTGTTCCTTGTCCTTCTCATCCCCTCTCTCCTCTTCAAAATGTGAATTCTGAATTTTTTTTCACCAAAACTTAGATATATTTCACCCTCTCCCTGCAGATGGTCAATTTGTAAAAGCTGAAATAGCCAGCTTTGTATCCTCTAACAAACTTCCTTTGGTTACAACTTTTACAAGAGAAAGTGCCCCGTCAATCTTTGAAAGTCAAATCAAGAAACAGGTAATTGCTTATATGTCTGTATCTTTTTTATATTGTCAATCTAGGAACAAATATTCCTTAAATGGGATCGTGACAAACTTCTAACATTGTTTGTGTTAAAAATTTCACCTCTAGTTGTTGCTGTTTGTGAGCTCAAATGACACAGAGAAGTTAGTCCCTGTATTTGAAGAAGCAGCAAAATTTTTCAAGGGGAAGGTATATTTCCTCACATGCTATTATTATTTCATTCTTTCTCTACAGTCTAGAAAAATGTGTGCCTTTTATTTCAGAAAATAAAAATCCAAATAATAGAATCCCTTGCTGTTTGTAATAATTCTGGTGCAGTGCACTACTATATGAAATATGAATCATGAAAGTAGACTGAGGGAAAGTAAAGGTAGACAAAATTTAGTTTAGAAGGTGTGTTGAGTTAATGAACGTTGTATGTAGTATTCTACGGCAGTGTTTGCCAAAATCAAGAACACGCATAACTAGTTTTGTTGAATTAATTTTTAATATCTTGTGTTTGTAATCACTGAGATTTTGGATACTTAGTTCCGATTTAATATTTTTTTCAAGTCCCAATGAGTTCAAAAGAAAATACAGAACAGAATTGTATTTTTTTTAACAAATTACTTTTCATTTTAATTAAAAAATTTCCTGTTTCGGCATTTTTCTGTCCTTTTTTTTCTACTTTATTTGATATATGAAAAAAGGATACACCATTTGGTACACAGTTAATTCAAAACCAATTTTTCAGCAAACCAAGCATAATTTGAATCTAGTTCAAAGTCATTTGAATTTGTGACATTGGTTTAAATCTGAACTGTTTTGAGATGATTTTGAATTTTGCAAAATAATCTGAATTTAACACTTGATTGCTAATGCTTAGTGGTGAATCTTACGATATCTCAAATTGGATCTTTCTTTCTTTTGTTCATATATTTTGCAAATTAGAGTCCTATTTATCATTTAAAAATTAAGAAATAATAATTTCAGTTTCTGCATTTTTAATTGTTATTCATTCACACCCCCCCCCCCAATAGTTTTAATTTTTGGACAATAATGTATTTCTACTGTACAATGATCTGTTGCAGCTGGTCTTTGTTCATGTGGCAATGGATAATGAAGATGTTGGAAAGCCTGTTGCAGATTATTTTGGTATCACCGGAAATGCTCCCAAAGTAATAATTTTCCCTCTTCTCTTAATTTCATTTTAGTGGAGTCATGAGATTCTTGACATACTACATCATTCAAATTCAATTGGAGGCAAATTAAGTAACTGATGAAATTTCCAATATAGGTACTTGCATTCACCGGAAATGATGATGGAAGAAAATTTTTGCTTGATGGAGAGGTGACGGTTGACAACATTAAGGTACTCCCCTCTGTAGTCTATTCCTGCCAAGGGCTCTGTTCATTGTGTTACCATGTTATGGAATGTGCATGAACATTTAGTAAGGCTTGGAAGAGATTGTGACTAAAAATTTCTAGTCTTTATTTTTTCTCAGGCATTTGGGAACAATTTCCTTGAAGACAAGCTAAAACCTTTCCTCAAGTCAGATCCAGTTCCTGAAAGTGTAAGTTATTTTGTCTTCCATCCATGTTTTATTGACCAGGTTTTTCATGTCTGAAATGTTTGCTAACTTGTTAACAGAATGACGGTGATGTGAAAATAGTTGTGGGGGATAACTTTGATGAAATTGTCTTGGACGAGTCGAAGGATGTTCTGCTTGAGGTAAGATTATAGGCTTATAGCCCATTAGTTTCCAAGTCATATTTGCTTGTTCAGCTTTTTTGTGTTAATCTAATGTTTGTTGTAATATTAGATTTATGCTCCCTGGTGTGGCCACTGCCAAGCCCTAGAACCAACATACAACAAGCTTGCAAAACATCTTCGTGGCATTGAGTCTATTATTATAGCCAAGATGGACGGAACAACAAATGAGCATCCCAGGGCAAAGGTAAACCAAAATTTAAACGTGACATCCATAAAATATAGTTTGTGCTATTTTTGTTATCGTTAATTGGCATTTGATCTAACTCATGGTAAGTTTTGAAATTTTCAATTAAGCATTATATCAGAAGCCATTATACCTTTTCATGACTGCATGAGTTCTGACTGAGTTACATATCCCACTTCGCAGGCTGATGGATTCCCCACTATTCTCTTCTTCCCAGCAGGAAACAAGAGTTCTGACCCCGTATGTGTATATTAAACGACAGCACACAATTGCTCTGTTCAGCTATCTTGGATCTGCATACTCTATATCACCACTTGATCTAATACATATATCTGTCTGCAGATAACTGCTGATGTGGATCGTACAGTGGTAGCCTTCTATAAGTTCCTCAGGAAACATGCATCAATCCCGTTCCAGCTCCAGAAACCAACCTCAACTAAATCTGGGAGCGAGAGTTCTGATGTCAACAAGGAGAGCCAGAGTTCTGATGTCAAGGAGACCCATCGTAGCAGCACCGAATTGAAGGACGAATTATGAGAGTTAAATGACACTGCTATTTTAGAGGGACGATCCAGACAGATGACAAGAAAGTGAAAAGATGCTGAGCAAAGAAAATAACATAACGACTGAGTGAGAAAAACTGTCTATTTTCCCTCATCCTGGCCAAAAGACAAATAGCCAGAAAAGGGCAGTGGAAAAATGATATGTATTAGCTTCTCCAACTTGACAAGTTTGTCTATTAGAATTTTGGTGAGATTTTAACTTAAAAAATGCCTCTAAATTTTATTTTATCAGTACTCAAATTTATTCACGGTATTACATTTTTTTTATGGACAATAGGGCACAAAGGCCCAAAAACGAAGTAAGAAAATTTTCGAGGTACAGCAACCCCTACACAGCACTTGTCCTTGGTTAAGCTTCAGTTGATAAAAATTATTGATTAATCTTCCCCTTTTTTTGTCCTTATAAGTATAATCCAACCTAAAAATATATATACAAACTTTTCAGTTGAATTGTTAATATGGGCCAGCCTAACTCATTCAAGTTGGTAAATCAATCTAATCTTGCCAAAAATATATCTAATCCTATTTACTTACACACGTAAGTTAAAAAAAATGTTAACCCAGCTCAACTTACCAACTTCTTGATTTTATTTTTCAGCTGAAAATTATCTTGATAAAAATAAAACTTAAAAAGCCACAAAGTATAAAAGGCTGAAAAATTCAAATCGGAAGTTGCTTTTTGCACCCCTTTTTTTTCTATTCTTGCACCTAATTTTTTTTTTGTTGGTTTTTATTCTTGAACTAACCTTATATTGTAAAAATTGCCTTATATAATAAATTCCAATACTACAAAAAAGTCTCAATAAAAATATAAAATTCTCTCATCGGAATAAGACAATTATCATTTTCTACAACACCCAAGAAAATCATGTTCCACCCCTCCGTAAACTGCATACAAAAATAATAACGAGATTTATACATGGAAAGCTTTTGAGTACGGCAGCGAGAGTATGTGTAAGAGGTATCTAAACAATAAAGTACAAGTACGAAAGAACCAATTTTGGAGAGAGCTACTATTTTATAAAAAAAAAATTAGAAACTAGATTCCAATTAGAAGTGTCTAATGGATCAGCCCTAGTTTATATGAGCCAGAGCCAAAAGGCCTATTGGGCCAACAAGTCTATAATATGAAAAAGTTCATAGAGTTTAAAAGTGAGTTAGGTCTAACTAATTTTAAAAAAATTATTAATTATAAAATTTTTTAATATATTATTTTATAATTTTATTTAAGTATTAATCATAAAATTTATCATATTTTAATATTTTTATACTATTATATTTTATTTATTTATTTTTATAAAATTATCTTAAGAACATCACATATTTAATAAATATTTTTAAAGTCATAATAGAGATACAAAATTAAATACAAAAAATAGTTAAATTTATTAAGTCATTTGTTATTAATTTAGCAAAATGTTTAAAATGATTTATTTAAATAAAATTTAATGTGTTAAAAAATATAAATATAATATTGTCATCGTAAAAATTATAAATATGTAAGACTTAATATTATCAAATTTATGAATACAGAAAAGTAATTTATGAACTTAACAATAATTAATGAATGTTTGAAATTTTAAAATTTGACTTATCTTAATTTAATATAATTTATTTTTAAAATAAAATAATTTGATTAGACAAAACTGATAAAAAAATGTTATTTAAAATATATTTTTATATTTAAAATATAATTTTAAATAATATAATATAATAAAAATAATTACGAAACACATTTGTCTTTTATTAAAAATATTTATTAATTATTTTATAAAAAATGTGTTTATTTATTTATTTTATAAAATTATTTTAAGAAAATCACATGTTTAGTGAATATTTTAAAAGTCATGATTGAAACACAAAATTGACAAAAAAAAATAACAGTAGCTAAATTTGTTAAGTCATATATTATGAAAATGCTTGAAATAATTTATTTAAATAAAATTTAATGTGTTAAAAAAATATAATATTCACATCATAAAAATTATAGACAAATAATATTTAACATTGCAATATTTATTGATGTATAAAAGTAACTTGTAAACTTAGAAAAAATTAATAAATATTTTAAATTTTAAATTTTTGTTGATCTTGGATTGATAGATTTTTTTATTTTTAAAATATATTTTTATTAATTTTAAATAAAATATTAATAAAAATAATAAATAGTACATGTGTCTTTTATTTAAAAAAATAATATAATATTTATTAATTACTTTTTAAAAGTGTGGACTAATTCACCTTTGATCCTAATCCTAATCCATATTTTGTTTATATATTAGGGCTTAAAACCATAATAAGAATACTAAAGACGTAAAAAAACTGCGATTGTAAAATGTATTATATGAGAAAATTTGTAGACTCAGAACTAAATTAACATCTATAATTCTGATAAATTATTCAATGCCTTTCAAAGTTTATTTTCCAAAAAGTACTTTCCATGACTTTGAAAATAATTTTTCGGAAGTTCCTCTACACCACTATTCTTTCATCACCAACACAAATAAGAGGTAAGTAGGTGATTCTTAATAGAAAATAAAAAATAAATAAGTAGTGTAAATAGTAAAAAAAAAGTATAAAAAGTAATGGCATTAAAAATAGAGTTTGATTAACTTTAATCTTTAATATTGAGTTTAAGCATCCACAAATAAAAAAAAATTATGAAAAAAGTATACAGTTATTATATTGAAATTATAAAACTATAATAAATATTTCTTTTTATAATAAAATTTTACTATTATTAGCTATTTATCGTAAACTCTAAGAGTTGAGGTTAACAAATAAAAAAATTATATAAATTAATCTTTGAGTGAATAATATATAAAATGTATAAATGATATAGACATTTAATTATATCATTAACATTTAGTATAATAATAATAATATTATTATTATTCACCTTAGTATTAATGCTATATAAAATATATCGATCAATCTTTGAGTGAACAATGTATAAAATATATAAATGATATATATATATATATATATATATATATAATTATATCATTAACATTTATATTATTATTATTATTATTATTATTATTATTGACCTTAATAGTAATGCTATATAAAATATACCAATTTATTAGACTTAAAATTTTAAGCTAAATGATTTTTAAGTTTTAATTTAATTTAATTTATTTAATAAATAAGTTTATACATAACTTTGATGTGAATTATTGAATTACTATCTAAGTTTCCTTTACTTTACAAAAACTAAAAAGACGTAATTATTCAGTTAATAATATTAAACTTATCAATGATTTATATTATTCTTTAAAATTACCTTTATTTTATTATAAAAAATGCAGTCATAGTTAATTATCTCTCCCATATTATATTAATTTAGAGTTTTTAACATTAATATAATAAATAAATAATTTTAAAAAATTAGAATTATTAAAAAATATTAATATCAACTCTTAAAACTAATAATAATAATATAATTTATTGTACTTTTGTTTAAATCACATGCATCTTTAACTAAAAATAATTTTATTTGAGTCAAGTAAAATTATGATAGATAATAAAACTTTACAATAAATATTTATTATAGTTAAAAAATATTAATGATTAATTATATATTATACTGCTGTACTTTAGAAAACCAAATAAGGAACATGGTGATCGCGCAGTGGAAGTGCTTCCCGTATCACATTCACGCCACTTACTTGCGAAGTTTCCAACAACAGCTAATTTCCAGTACATGGCAATGTCTTTCCAATATTTACACCATCCACGTGGTCTCCATCGCCAGCCCCAATTGAGATTTCGTCCAAATCCACCCTCCGATTCCATCGAATCTCGAGGCGTTACCCCTTATAAACCCCACTTATCATTTTGCGCCCTTACACTTTTCCAGATCTACCACTATTTTCCGTTCCGTTCAAACAGTTTCTCTTTATCGCTCCATTCTCTTCTCCTTCTTCCTTCGTCATTGCCGTTTCAATTTCAGATCCAACTCTGTTCAATCCAAATTCAATGGCGAGTCCTTCAATCGCAGTATTCTCCGTTCTTCTTCTCTTCCTCGTTTCATTTTTAGTCAACATTACTGCCTCCTCCGATTCGCCGGCTCCGGCGCCGCATTTCTCCGCTGACTCGCCTCCTTCTTCTCCTTCACCTTCTCCTTCTCTTCAAGACGCTCCTGCTTCCAACCCTTCCCCGGCCAATTCACCCGAAGCTCCAACTCCGGCGCCGTCTCACCCCGATTCGCCGCCGGCTCCTTCGCCTGGGAGTATTCCTTCTCCGTCTCCGTCTCCGTCTCCGTCACCGTCACCGTCACCCGCGGATACAGATGATGAAGGAGTTAACCGCACTGACGTGGCCGATATGGACGGTAAATCCTCCGGAGGAGGAATGAGTTCCGCCAAGAAAGCCGGAATAGCGGTGGGAGTGATCGCGGCTGTTGGTGTGGTTACATTGGGAGCGTTGGTGTACAAGAAACGCCGGCAGAACATCCAGCGGTCACAGTATGGATACGCAGCGAGGAGAGAACTTCTGTAGATGGTCTTACACGTTTTGATTTGCATCTCTTTGGTTTGGCCACAGGTTAACCATTCAGTATTTCATTATACTATTTTAGGCTTTTTTGTGTTTCGAATTTCAATTAGATTATACTCGAGATCTCAGAGTGATTTTAAATTTCAATTTACAAATTAAGTACAAATTTGTTTTCGTTCTTAGTAGCAAAATAAATATATATATTGTGAATTTATCCATTCCTGTATTGGATTTTAGCCAGTCTTTGATCTATTGCCCTTGGAATCCTCATCACTTTATTATTTTTTGTATCTTAATTTCAACAAAATGATGATATGGCTAATGCTTTAAATTACTTTAATTTAGGTTAATTATATTTCTGGCGTATGGAATCGTTTTCAATTTTGTCTCTTATACGAGAAAAAGTTTTAATTTAACTCTAATATTTACAGGTGTTTATATTATAATACAGACTGTTATAACTATTAAGCAGTGGGATTTAAAGAATAAATTAAAAATGAGTATTACGTACTAATCATAAGTATTTTCCCCCTTATATTTGGTTTAAGTTTAATCTAGCCTTAATGTATAAGATAATTTATAATTAATTGATAGTATAACTTTTTTATGTTGTCAGTGTATTTTAATTAAATTTAATAAAAAAATATCTCAAATTTAGTTTTTATATTTTACAGCATTCATGTTTGATCTTTTTAGATAAATAAGCTTTTAAAAAAAGAGTTGATAAAAACCAAGGACTTGACTTATTTTTAGTATAAGGAGCCTTGTTAAATAATTAAAAAATAGAAATATTTAATACATTAAAAAATAAATAAAATTAGTTCCATTTAATATTTGTAGCTTTTTTTTAAAATTTATAATATATACTTTAAAGCATTCATTAGCATTTCTTTTAAAGTTTAGTTTATCGATGAGGATTTAGGTAATTTGAATTGTGAGAAACTAAATGGTAATTGCGCTTCGTCAGTTTACTGCAGCGCAGGGTCAAAATTTGCTATAGCTTTTACTCCACCGGAGGCTTTAATTGGACCTGGATTCTTTCCTTTTTTTTGACGCGAATTGGGTTTGGTAGTTAGTGTATTTTTTCCATTTAATTTCTACAATCGATTGACGAAGTGATAGCAACGTGATATTTGCGGTGCATAATTTGCGCATATTTATACTGATGTTTATCAAACGTAAAATTTTAGTCAATATTTAGACAATTTCGATATGGTCGTAAATTATGAATCTACTAATTAAATAATATACCTTCTTACCAAAAAAAAGTACATTATTAAGTATAAAAGGTTGTGTAGGCTAGTGGAATAATAGTCCGACCGTAACTGTTTGGGATGTGGTCAAATACGAGGAATGGAGAAAGACAACCCCACCCCTGCCAAACCAAAACTTAACAACGAAGAAATGTGGGGCATGAAGGTTAGTAGCCTAATTTTTGGGCAGAAAGTGTTTAGGATGATTTTATTCCCTGTTTCTCCTTTTCTCTCTTGCCATTCTTGTTTTCTTTTTTGGGTTTAACAGAGTTAGACTGGGTGATTCTAACATCCTTCCTATCTTTTCATTAAGCAAATTTTTTCAACGATTTTTGATAACGGCTAAGATTTAACTATAAAAATTGAAAGTTGTTGTAGATGATAGCAGATTAGTAAAGGGTAAGAAGGTAAATATTCTCTTTCCACTTCTTTCTTCTCTATCAGGTGCTCTGCTCCTTCTAGGAGCATGGCTTTGTTCCTAGATAATGCCCAATACATGCATTATGGGCACGAGAGTGGTTTGTCTATCGTGAGTGACCTATGCATGCATCCCATTGCATTCCACTGCTTTCTTCTTCCGCTTCATTCCGCTCCACAACACCGGACTTGAATGACCCGACTTACTCGATTCAGCCTCTCGCTCCGTTACGACTTCCCCTCGGTCGAGCATCTTCCCTCTTGCTTCGCTTGAGTTTCTGATTGTGGATTAATTTCAATGCTAACGTTATAGGCTTATAACAGAATGGTAGCTCGAGCTTTGCAAAAGGAGTGAAGATTGCTGTATCTGTTTTCTTGCTGGAATAGGACAGATATTTCCTAAAAGCATTTCTCAAATGCAAGAGGTTTGACAGCTGATCGGTTCATATGCCTCTCTGGTTCTTAAGGCGTAACTAGCTTCCTTCCTCAGTGCGGAATAGAGCAAGCCAAGTCAACGAATTAATCCTCACTATTAGGAAGATTGGTAGGATCAAAGTAGCTTGCAGTAATACTGAGTTTCGACAGAATCAAGGAGGATAATGAAGAGGTTCTTTAATGAGTGGAATCACATCATTTACTTTTTTATCCTTCACCGTATCATAGTCATTTCTAACCATTGGATTAAAAATACATAAAATCAACGGTTAAAAAGTTTTTTTACTTTTGCTTAATGAAAAGATAGGGAGGACGTTAGAATTCCGCAGTTAGACTCACATGTTTTGAACATATAAGTTAGGAAATCGGTATATATTCTTTCTATAAGAGAAAAGCGCAGCAGATTCTTTCATGCGAGAATCATATGAAAAAAAATAAAGAATTAAAGTTAATAAATGACAATACCTTGTCAATAGAAAAAGACCAAACCTTATACATAGTTATACCTTGCAAAATGTAGTTATTTTCGCATGGTTTTTTATCTAAAAAAATCACATAAAAGGAAGTAATCTTAAATTAGGCTAACATCTTTTTCAATCCCTATAATTCAGGTATCTACACACAATTGTTTAATGCCTTGATGGTGACACGATGCTTAGTGCTAAAACATCATCATCTTTTTTGGGTCAACATTGCTAAAACATCTAACACTGGCAATTTGGCATTCACTGAGTCATCTAATAACTGGCATTGTTGTAAGAAACGATGTATTTATTTTTATATTGTCATTGATGGGGGCAAAGTAAATGCACCCTGGTTGGTATGTATCCATAATAGAGTTGCACAGCTTAATTTAGGGGAGCTATGCTAAAAGGAATTCCATATTCTGCTTCTGAAAACTGTGTTGACACTAAAACTATATTACATATACAACAGGAGACGACAATGATCTTGCCAATCAAATCAAATGTAACAAGAACTGTCCTTTCAATTTCTCTGCTGGAGGGTCTACCCAGAGTCCATTATCTTTTTGATGAGCTGGATCAAGGCACTAGCTGCATGCTCTATCGCTTTTCAACATTTCATCGCTTTTGTGAGGGCTTTAGGAAAACGTTAGTGGTGTATATAATTAAAAAATTGAATTTTTGAAATTTATTTATAGAATAAAAAATATTAAAAGATAATATTAATATGAAAATTAAAATATCATTTGAAGTATTAAATTTTATATACAAAATTATATATTCTCATTAACTCTCTAAGGATTTAACTATTTTAAAGTGAATAAACACGTAAAATAAAATATGTATATCTATCATTAATTTTACTAGTGTCCCCACTTTACACATTAAAGATAATATAATCTTTGCCTAAACAATTAAGTAACCTTGAGTCGGCCTGAGCTCACCATAGTGAGTCATCAAACTTCACTTAGCATAGCAAATTAAAAAAAGTTGGTTTTTCCTTTCTCATGTTGGGCATAAAGACATAATGAAGGTGTCACGTTCCCAAGGTCAGTACTCTTTCTAGGGGCAACTCTCACTTAAACCGAAATCAGCATCCACCGTCACCCTGCCTCCATTCATAATGCAACCCATGACTGTAATCTGATGCAACCATGCATGCACGACAAAATAAACAAAATAGCAATATTGAAACACCCAAACAGGTGTGATGTCTTCTCGCGAGGCAAACAAAGTGAAGTGCATGGTTACATTTACGAGCGAAGATTGAGAGTAAAGTTAAAAGTGTGTTTGGATGAGATATTTTAAGACGAAAGAATTTATAATTTTATAAGTTAAAATTTATTGTTTAAATATTAAATTTTAAAGAATTTAAAATTCTAAAAGTTTTAGTTAAGATTTTTAATAGATTAAAATTAAAGAATTTTAAATCTTTACAAAAGAGTGAAAATTTGAAATTGTTTTCTTTGATAAATGTGTGTTTTATTGTATTTTTATTTAATTATGGTTATTTAATAATTTAAATTTCATATTTTTAATTAATTTTGTTAATGATAGTTTTATTTTTTTAAGAATGTAAGTAATTTAATTACTCTATTCAAACAAAAAATTTAAAATAAAGAAAATTAAATTACTCTATCCAAATATAATATTTTAAAATGATAAAAATTTAAATGATGTAATTTAAGTGATTACCGAAACACCCAGATTGGTGTGATGTGTTCTCGCCAATGTGTTCACGAAGATCAAACAGGATGGGCATGATAGATGAGATTGCTTAATAAGTAATTTTGATTTCAAATCTTAAACACATAAAATTATACTGCCCATAATCTAATTTAACTTTGTCCACATTTTAAACGACGGATACTACCTTGTACTTATAATTCTGTAGCCTTGCAAACAATATTAAAATATGTATCTCTAAGAAAGTCAAAATCCTTGTCTGGGGCTTCTTAAAGGTGCCCATCTCCAAGGCATAATTTTGATTAAACTATTCATCACTTGGTTAACAAAATTTTGATATATCATGTCAACAATTCATCTGGGGTAGAGTTTATGTTGACGTTGATGTTGGCATGAGATTAATGATCTTGCGTAAACAAAGGACATGCACCATAATCAATCTCAAGTCTTTTATTAGCTCATCAAACACGAAAGCTATATTAGTCCAAACCCAAGGAGCTGATCTAGAAACACAAATTTACAGATTCACTCTTCACCCTTTGCTCTTAATCAGATTATCAATTCTCTATTCAGGGTCCATTTCTTTTGTATTTATTTATGAAAACAAATTTTTCCGATAAAGATTCATATAATTTTTTTTATAATGACTGTAGATGTAAATCTCAAAATATTTCAGATATTAAAAATGGTAGTTTCTACAAAATCTGTAAAAATATATCATTTAAAAAATTTACCAAACATTCCTTTAATTAACGGGAAGATTCGGAAATAGAGAGACTTATAATCATAATCAGATGAATTCAAATACAAAAGAAACACTACAACTAATACGTAATACGATTCGTGATTGCCAAGATAACAAGATTCAACATCCAAATCCAGTGGTTGCTTTATGTTTTAAAGATGTTAAATATAGCAGCAGTTTCACAATCACATGATGGTCATAATGTATGAACCAATAGAACAATCGCACACGTGAATTAGCAAGAAAGTCGTTCAGCTTCCTGATTCTATCATTTTCATTATGATAATCATCATTGTTACCTTTTAACACTTTGGTTTCTCAAAACCTGTCTTCACTGTAACAGAATACAACAAGCTTAGAAATCACGTGATACAAAACCTAGTGTAACTAATTCTACATGTGTATGAGTTTCCAATTATGTCAAATATGGCCTGCAGTAACGAATCCTCTAACAACACGGTCTTTAATACAACTATGTTGTATCCCTAAATGAATGATTTTGTGGATTACATTTTCACTTGATTGTCTGCAGTTCAATTGCTTGTATCCCCGTACTTTTGTTTTGATTTAGATTCTTTTCTTTCTATGAGATAGAACAAAATAATTCATGAAGCATAATAATAATCATACATCTATGATGTATTGTTTCCTCATCCTATGGAAGTAATATATATAAACACTTAATGGAAAAGGCTTGGTGATAGCTTTCTCACATGTCCAAGCAAAAGAATTGTTTTTTGCAAGTGAAACATTAGGCCAACGTTACACTGTAAATGAATCATAATTTAATTAAGTGGTCACTGCCTCAACGAAAGAATGCTTCTCCAAGATGGCAACTGTCTCTTCCTTTGCACTGCAAATGACAGGTGAACAAGAACACAATCAATGTAAACTGTAAAGCAAAATAAATTCATACTTGTGTTAATACATAGTATCCAAAGACTGAACAGTTTTGTTCAAAACATGTAAATCCATACTTATACTGCTAACAAAACCTGTTAATTTTGAGCCACTTTTTATTATTTAATAAAAGGCTTCAGATAAGAATAATGGCTGTGTTTCATATGCATTGTGCACAGAGGATCATCCACTATTAACCAGAGAAGGGGAAATGTTAAGTTCTCCAAACTGGAGATGAGTTTAGCGTCATTCATTTTTAGATATGCATGGTGAAATATTATGACAGAAATCCCACTATTTCCTCATCTGACATAGCACAGTCCATGTTTTAAACAATGCAGCATAATAAGAGTTCAGATCAACTACCTTCCGGGCCTAAGTATCTTGTATTTGTGTGGTATAGTGAGGTCCACAACTGTTGAGCCTGCACGACTGGATGGAAGCAAACCACCATCATAAACAAAAGCACAATGTTCCCAGAGGTTCTCAAAATCCTTGATGGAAACACTACTTGGCTGTCCACTTAGGTTTGCGCTGGTAAGGGCCAGGGCAGTTCCTGAACCACGAGCAATAATCCTGATGAAATCGCAATCAGGCACTCTAACTCCTATACTATCAAATCCTGGGTTCAAAGATCGTTCAAGAACACTCGACTCTCCTGTAAAATATCCAAGTGCATCAGACAATATATAGGATCTCTACAGCAAAACGTGAGGTTCACAGAAGATATGTTGACAAAGGAATGAAGAAATAGAACTACATTGTTGCATCAAACAAATTTTGTGAACTAATTGATTTAAACATATGTTGTAGATTATTCTTCACAGTTCATATTACTTCCATAAATTTCATTTTCCATAATACACAGACACACACAACTTACAAACCTCTTTTTAGTATAACTGTGACAGGCCCAGGTAGGAGGGACTCAAGCAGACCATGAGGTAAATGGTCAGTGACAGCAAAACGGACTATATCTGATATGTCACCCACACAGATAGCCAGAGGACTTGTATGTTTTCGGCCTTTAATCTCATAAATCCTGTTAACTGCTTCCAGCGAACTGCCAACATGCCCCAATAGAAGGTAACAGGTAATTATAAATCGATCAGAATGCAATTGATTTTTGAACACAAAGACATAAGGTTGATCTAATATTTGATTAAACAGATAAAACATATTGCAGGCATTCAGAAGGATGGGTATAATGTGGCGCTAACTTTCCTCACATCTGACATCTATGTAGAAAAATTGATATCTTGTGTCAAAACCTGTATGAAATCAATATAACATAAAGCAATTATGCATATGCTTCCTTTCAGAGAGGACTGCAATAAGCAGTCTTTGAAGATCAATTTTTTTTGTTTTAAATTACACAACACTATATTAGATATTTTGTCAGGAAATATTGTGAATAACTGAATATTAGGCTCAAAACAGCAGCAATGTCATAGACTTGTAACAATTTTATAGTCCACTTTGAATCCAGTAGGACCAACAGTAAGTTCCGCACGTGATGCTCTGAGCAAAAGCGACACGCCAATTAAGATTTATATTCAAATACTGAAATTTCACTAGTCTAGTGGTGCAGTTACAACTTCATTATTAATCAGCACTATACTATAGCATTTTCATCATTTCCCTACAGAAGGAACAACAGGAGAAATATTCTGTTAATCTGTCACTTAATCTTTTCTTCTCCAATTTGTCTTTTATCTTGATTATGACAAGCTAGTGCTTTGATTTTCAAACATAGTACAACTGAAATCCAAGATATTAAAAGCACAACAGCCACTGTTTCTTACATTCAACTAGAAAAAAAAAAGGAGAAATGAAAAATATAAGATGCAACATATACGGGGAAAAAATACTAGAGCTCATAAACAAAAGTGAAGCATGAAGGATTTTAAGCACAGATTCAAATAGTAGCATACCAAGCATCACAAGCAAATCCATAGAGTGTGTCAGTGGGTACTGCAATGACTTTCCCAGCTTTCAAAGCTTCAACTGCCTCGGCAGCATAAGCATCTGTTGCTGGATGAACCACCCCAATACCCATATCACAATTATCCACACTGTAAGCCATGCTTTTGGAGAAACCCCTTCTAAGCCCTTGGCGCTGTTGCAAACGAGGAACAAGCGACAACCTACGGAGCCCTGAAGTTCCATTGATTCAGTAAGTGCTATTAACAAGAAGAAAAAATAACCAAGACACATCTCAAACTTCAGCATGTAGAGCTGAATTTAGTTTGCATTTGACCACAGAAGATGAATTACCGCTTAAACTTAACATTTTTGTTGCTAAATGCCATCAAAGGAAGCATTTTATCCATGAAACGTAAGTGGGCATACAAAAAGTATTAAAAAAAACGTGAGCGTGTCAGAAATATGGTTAATTTATTGACCCAACAACTGTTTGATATAAGTTTAAAAGAGGACAGAAAGGGAAGAAAGACTGACAACGTTTGTGAGTAAAGAGCACCTCGGAAGTTGAAAGTGGAAAAAGAGAAACGAGGATTGAGGAGTAGCAGTCCTTGCGTACAAACATTCATCGTATTCTAAATCTGTGTTCACCATTACTCTGCTCCATAATCCCTGCCAAACCTCCGTTCCTTCAGTTAACTTAACCCTAAGTTTTTTAGTTAAAATACCGTTAAATTAAATCAGCCTCTATCGTAAAATTAGTTAAGAGTTTACAGCAGTAGTTTGTCATTTAGAGTTCGTAAGATAGTTGAATATTTATAATTCGTTTGTTAAATTATGATTGTTTAATAAAATTAAATATAAAATTAGTTAAAATATGTTAAATAATTAATAAAAAAAGGTTGCGATAAATTAAAGTCAAATATTATTTGAAGCGTGTTTAGTAATAAAATTATTTAATAAGTTCTTAAATTAATTGAAAGCTTTTAATTATGTTTTGATACTTAATAGAACCTCAATGTAACTATGAAATAATTTACATAAATTATTTAATAAGTTCTCAAATACTTTACGGAACTATGAAATAATTTAATTAAAATGAAATGAATCTCACTTTTAATTGTTGAGAATTGCTGACCTTAACTTTTTAAAAAGACTTCAAACAACTAATGATAATAATAATTTTTATTTAAAATATTTATTAAAAATATTAATTTTAATTTAATAAAATTATAAAGAGTTAAATTAACAAAATTCATAAGTATTTTATCTATTTATACACACTTTTCTTTCACTTTTATAATAATTTTTTTTATCGATCTAGCTCCTTTATAAAATTTTAGGAGTATTTATTAATTTTGTTCACAAATTTGTGTTTCATTAATTCAACATTTTGAACTGCTTAATAATTAATATAATAATATAGTTTATATTTAGTTAAGAATAAACTTTAGATGTTATAATTAAAATTTTTACATAGTTAATCAAATGTTTGAACAATTTTTTTTTAATTTATGTAATTTACTTAAAAAGTTGCTGTAAAAAGGAATGCAAGGGGGTAACACTATATTATTTTCAAAGGAGTAAAACTATTTTATAAAAACAAGCCTGCCCACCAATTTTGATGAATGCCCAATCCGTGTCTAGAGCCCACTCTTCCAACACCACTGAGCCCATTCATTTAACCTCAATTATATGTTTTTAAATATATTTTTTTTATTTTAAATTAGTCTCTCAACTTTTTACTATTAGAATCAAGAGATATTTTTATTACTACAAATAATTCTTTTAATATATTTTTTATAAATCTCAAATTATATATATTTTTTATTAATTTTTTAAAACTATTTTAAATTCTTTTATTCAAGATTCACCAATCAAAATCTACCAATCAGCACATCATATTTCACTCCAAGTTTTAAAAGAGAAAATCCCTCAAGTCTCCCCTCGTAAAAATCTTCACACTTCAAGATTTTTTTTTAACTTGCATTTTTAAATTTTTTTTAACCTTTTAAATAATCTTCTATTTAAAATATATCAAAAATTTCTAATAATAAAAAAGATTTTAAAATCAAATAAAAAAAATTCAAGACTAAAATTTCTCACTGGTTATAAATGTAATCAAATCATAATATTATATCAATGCTATCAAATTCTGTTTTTCTTTGGTCCACATTGATAAAAGTTGTCACATGATTTCTTATTCTACTAAAAAAACACAGGGAAAGCATAGTAGATAAAGTAGATGATGATACAACTCAGTGTCAGCTTCATAGAATAAAGCAAGTTTCTTTATCTTAGCCATAGAATATGGCAAACACTGCATGTCACAAAAAAGTTTGGCAATAATCTTTTCATATATATTTTCATTAGACGGCAAGCCAATCAGCATTATTGAGTAAAGATTAGAGATTTTCACTTTCTAAAGAGAGATATCTTTCACAACTTTCCTCATAAAAATTATATGTTAATTATTCTTGTAGCATAACATTTTGCTTAAACAATACAATGGTAGCTTAGGATTTACGTGTAATGTGTTATAATTTAAGTGTTTACTACATCGTAACATTTGGCATTGACCCATCAATGATAAGCCTCTTAAGACAGATTAACAAGTAGACTTCATCATCATTGTCTCTCACTGACCAAAAACAAAATCATTATCTCTCATTCAAGAATACAAAAAAGGCGGCCAGAAGCCTTCTGGTTTTAATGTGACGAAAATAAATGAAATAAACAGAAATTTCATAGCATGAGAAGCTATATTCTAATTCACTCTATCACTACACATAAGCTGTACAATGAAGTCTAGTGATGTGAACTAACACAGTTAAATTCTCTATACACAATTACTTCTTTCAAATCAAGAATGAAAAGCAACCAGCTGCAGCTCCTAGAGTGCTAAGTGAAGCCACAAAAAGCATAATTCAGCTCTGGTTTGAGTTCTGTTGATTTTGCACAACAGTTTGATTGAGGTTGGAAGGACCTGAAACAGAACGTGGGGTGTTTACAGTTCGCAGATTTTGTGCTGCTTGTGTCATCAGTTGAGAGCCCTGTTGCTGCTCTGATAAAGCCTGCAATCTTCTCCTCCATCTGAAAAACTCCACAAGAATAGAGCTTCCACTCATCACTACACCAAAACCAGCAAATGTGGCAAGAAGGATTGACAGAACTGCTTGCACATGAACCTGTGGGCCACAAAAGGCATTAGTAGTCAGAGTGCTTGTGCTTCTACATTTAGGGGTTTCATGCACATTGTCATGCATATCCATGAGAGGAAAATGTTTTAGCTACAGCCATTCATTCATAAACAAAAAATCCTGATCATGGACAGCAAATATTTTTAAACTCATCGCCATGCCACCATCTTGGGCAATAAGGCACGTTCCATTACATTTCCCAAGAACCTTTCATTTTACTATAAACTTATCCAATGCTTCATTCATTTAACCATTTGTTTCTCATACAATGTTATAAAATTTGGATTCAATTTCAAGAGAAAAAATACAGGTAAAAAGAATATAGTTCCAACAAAAATGAAATCCATTACCACTGAGTAAAATATATGCGCAAAGAGAACCACCAGAGCAAACTGGACAGATGCATAAATCCAAATGAACCTGCTCTTCACTGGACATCAAAGTTCAGAAACAAAAATGTTAGGGTTGGCATAAATCAGTGTAACCCAACCTGGCATCATGAAAACTGAAATTAGCAATAAAGAACAAAAAGAATCGTCATGATGAAAAATCTACAAAAAATACTTGTTGAGAATACAAGAATCATTCAGTGTCATAAATCTATCAGCAATTGCTACATCATTTTAGATACTTTCAGAAATCCATATTCTGTTAATTAACAGTGTACACAGTTGCCAGGGTGTCAGTCTATTACACACACCCAAATGATTTTGACCAATTCTCCATTAATAGATTTATAAAGGAGTGTCCATTTGTTACTTGCTTCAAGGTGTCTATTGCAACTCTTATTTAATTAATTTTTATAAAAATTTTCTAAATTATTTAGTTCCATTAACAGAGAAGGGGAATATGTTAGATAACAATCATTTGAATATGAATGAGACAGTAAAGACTCCGTGTAGAGGATGATGAGTTCTCTGGAAAAGTAAATTGACAATATTTATGAATGTTTTGCAAACCTACCCATGGTTGATGATGTCATAGAGGAGAGTAAACCCAGCACACAGGAAAATGGAAGAGATATGGCAATTGCACCAGTTCCCATTTTTCCCACCTGCAGAAAATTGAGCAATTGAGACTAAATAAAATTGCAACTTTGACAGTTCTGAGAGGACTGCTGTTCTTACCAACAACTGTTCAAGAAAACAAAAATAGGCGAGCATGCTGACTATGACAAGCACTGGGACTTCCTGCCAAACTCTGTTAAGTTGAGAAGACAAATTAAAAGTGAGTCTCTGTAGTAATAACCCACAATACAAGAAGATATATATATAAAAAAGATATAATGAGAACACTCTATTCCACTTGTAAGAGTATATGACTATACAGTTGTAGTAGCTGCAGAACTCCAACGAAAATATTGACATCATGAGTATCATATTTAGTTCATATGACAAACTATGTTTGAATCTTGAGACAGCATGCGAGTCCATTGCTTCAATTTCAAAGCATGACAGTAAACGTGTTGGTCCCATATCCTAGGCAGTGTGATAACCATTATTGCACACTTGAAAGAAGTGGCAACTAGGGAAATGCAATACAGATTTTAGATAAACATCAGATGAATGCCATGATGGTGAATCATGATTGAGATTCTATGATATCTATTTAGTTCCTGATTGAAGCATCTCATCATAACTCATTCATCAGAAATCAGTATAAATCTTTATCAAACAAAGTAAATAGACATGCCTGTATCCATTTACATCTTCCAAATGAGACCTATTTAATCCATTATTCCGATTTCGAACACTTTGGATCCGTAGCAGAGTTACAGGCAGGTTCCGAACTTCCTCCTTGCACACATCACAGGTCTTGTTACCCTTTATGCTAAACCATTTAATAGCACATTCTTGGTGAGCCAGAGCAAGTTCACCTTTGCAGCTGCATTCCAACTTGAAGGTCTCGCCTCCTTCACATAGATCAACAAGACAGATTCTACACACAGCCTCTTCTTCAGCTATATCTTCACCGTCAGCAGCATCTTCATTTTCTGAACCATGAAAGTAATTTAGGCAACTTACTATCTACATTCAGGATTAGAAGTAGCAAGCATTTTAACAATATAAATTAAATCAAAATGTCTTTGAAGAAAGTTGGGAAGAGGTTAAAAAGAAAAGACAACAGTAGGGGGACTTTAAGAGCATGTATTCTGAACTACTAAAGAAACAGTCTTACAAACATTCTGACAATATGTTTGCTTAATTGTTAACACTACTGATGTTTGGCGCATCATAACTGTGTCGCACGGCTCGCACCAGAGAATCCAAAGATTTGACATATAAATTTCTATCATTTTTCATGAGTGCAAATCCTAGGGCTTATAATGAGATACCTGTATCCTTTGTTGGGGATGAATTCGGCAATTCATTTCCTTCCTTTATACGAGGAGTGGAAGGAACAATGCGGAAAAACGAATCCATCCTCCTTATGCTTTTATCTTTGTTATTGACAGGCACTGATAGAGAACGAGCTATCTTTCGCTGGACCTCTCTTTTCTGTGAAACGTATTACTAGGTTAAAATAAAGGTAAGGTAAGGGTATATTTATGACGCAAAATTTAGCAGCCATGACTACCGAAGGCAATTCTAGAACAAGGGAACTTAAAATCACTGCTAAATCTTACATTTAGAGGACCACCAACACTTCCACCATGAGCCGATTCTGGGTTTGAATGTCCAATTTCATCTACAGGTAATGAGGATGTTCTCTTTATCCTTGGAGTAAATATCTTAGTAAGGGACAATGATCTTGAGATTGAAGGCTTTTCTCCAATGCCTGAAGAGGAAACTTCTGAGGCTGCAGTATTTGCCTTTTCAATATCTGCCGGTGCCTTATACCTGAAGCTCAGTTTTGGAAGGAGGCTTCTTATGGATGATTTGCCTCTTGACGTTGAAGGCCCAGGAGAATTATTTGTTAGAGCATCAACGGAGCGAGAGCTCACAAGAAAGTTCACTCTTTTTGGAGTGGGAGTAGGATTGGGACTTGGTGTCATTGGCATTTTAATTTGAACAAAATCTTGGGAACGCTCTTCTGTTCTTGATGGTATTTCTAGGAGAAGATGCTGTCGCTTCCGAGGAGGAACATGTGTGGTTTCTTCAGTAATCCCCATTGGATCATCAACCTACAAATAGGATATGGAATTGATGAAATACGTGATTTAGGCACTGAATCACAAGTGAACTACATGACAACTAAGTGACTAACAAATCTATCCAAGTAGTCACTCAATATTTTTCTTAGCTTGGAACTCATCAAACTACAATAGAATTAGATAAACTGAAACTGGACTGTGAATATCTGCTTTCTTAATAAGCAGATTCTTGCACCCTCCAGCCTTTATTCCCCCCTCCACCATTAAAAAACACTGCTATACTTTTGGAACATGGAATTTTGTAATAAATAAAAATAACAATTGCTAATCTCATATTCTCATGGATTAAAGATTTGCATGATGCCATGTTTACCAAATGAATAAGAAACCAAAGAATCAAATACACTTTCAGAGACCAAACTACCAAGATCAATTGCAAATATCAGCCAGAGATCCTTTATTTCAAACTCAGTAGTTTAGGATACTGAATATAGTGGAGAGGAGATAATAAATTATATAAATATTTAAACAAACTCATCACTTGCAACTTTTTCTACTGTGAAGGAAAATATAAAGAGCACTAAAACTGCTTGGATTTGGCAACAGGATGTGGGAAAGGATAATGCGTTGAATAGCTATCACGCGATGAACAATTATGCAGTCATTGAATTTTGAAATCCTCTCAAAGGCAAATTTTCAATGCAGCACAAAAAGTAGCCGAGTCCTATGAGTGCAGCATAACAGTACACCAAGGGTGATATTCAACTCTTACTCTTCTTGTTTAGGGAAAATCCCACCTATTATAAGATTCAATATGATGGAAGATAAAGAAAAGAAACCATATTCAAATCAAAGTGCATAGAAAATTTTGAGCAATTTATTTTAGTGATATATGTTATCGAGTAAAGTTGCTCAATAGCTTCAAGTTTCTAGCATGTAAGACGTATAAGAAGCTGGCAATTGGAGGCTTAACTTAGCTGATTTGCAGAAGTAGTAACTGTTACTTTCTTTAAAAACTTTTCAACTGCGTAATTCAAAGTACATGGAAGAAATAAAAATAGCTAGACGCTCGCTGCACTTAATTTTCACGCACCCATAAAAAATCAGAACAAACATGCTAGTTGCAATTAAAAGGAATAAAATTCACACAATGAAATAAGATACCGTAATATTAATAATATAATACCACGGATACAATTGGTGGAAACTTGAAAGTAAAACAGATCAAGATCCGAGTAATTCAAAATATATATATACACATGATACATTAAATCATTTGTCCAAAAGGACCCAAATAATTGGAATACAAAATTAGAAAATAAAAAAGCAAACTTGACGATCATAACCATTCATTCAAGTGTTGAGAACATGTCTACCATAACAAAAGAGAAGTTTTGAAAATCTCAGTCTGAAAAATCATCAACAAAACAAAACCAACACAAAATAGAAGGTGTAACAGATGAGATGACACAGAAAGAGAGAAAGTGGAAAAACATATTCAAGAGTTCAAAATAGAGACTAGTCCTTGAAACAAAACCAGCCCCTATGAACCTGAAAATCTAATAAGCTAAAATAACAGAAGAAGATGAAAGGGAATAACAGAAAGCAACACCTTTTGAACTGGAAGCGAAACTGTTTTTCTGCAAGAAGTTTCATCATGTTCCTCACTCACAGGCTTTTCCTCAGCACTCATTTCGCTGTGGCAAAAAACAAAAAAATAATAGAAACCCAGAATTCGAAATTCCAATAGGAAGCAAAATAGCAAATAAAGTTCAGTTCTTGATCTTGTAGATGCAAACACCAATTGTATTTGTACCCATACCACTTACTTATTGCTTGGTACATGCAATAGGTGATGAGTGATGAGTGATGAGAGAGAGAGTGGGAAACAACTTAAATATGAGTTACAGTTACAGAGATAAGAGGAAGAGATTGTGATTACTGATTAATCACAAAGACCAATCTTTGACATTTATGACACAGTTTGGTGAGTCAGTGGTAGTGGGGTACCCTTCCTATCATGTGTTGCCACTCTTTCTCTTCACACTTCTGAGTTTCAAGTGCGCGCGGACTTTGTAAATTACTCTTAGCACTGTTAAAATATGCAGATAATGTTTATGTTAACATAAGTAATCAAAATTATCACGTGGTGTTATGTAACTTTACCAAAACGTACAGTATGTTTAGAAGAATTTATATAAAGTTTATGTATTTACACTAGTAAAGCTACATGTAAGTGGAAGGAACAATTTTTACTACTTATATTTTTATATAATTTTGTTTAGATATCTTCAATATTAATTATTATATATCAAGTGAATTATTTGTTTTGTTTATATTTTATTATCAATATTATATTATTTAAAATTTTGATAAAATTATATACCACTAATATAGATTTTATTTGAAATGTTTTAGCCAACATCTACTAGCTTTTCCAAAAATTTATGTTAAAATCTCCCACTGTGTATTTATAAAAATAAATTTAATGTTTTTATATTATTTTAAAGGTCATTTTAATAAAATTTTAATTAATTTTATGATTTAAATTTTAGATGATAAAAATTAATTAATTAAATTATGATTTATATAAATCTTAAAATATTTTTCAGGGGTTACATCATACAACTAGGAGCGATAAGGATAAGTGTCTCATAATTCCACTTGACAGGTGAATTCTACTTGAGCCAGTATTTTTCAATTTATGTAGCATTCTCAAATTATTGTGTTTGAATATCCACTTATTTGCAAAACAAGTGTCAAAATCTCACAGCAAGAAACTAAAATATAAGAGAATGGAGGATACAGAAAGTTAGGAGAAGAAAAGAAACGGGTAGAAAAGATGCAGCTTCCAATCACATTCAATAGCTCCATCGGTCTCTGCCTCTCAACTTCCCATGATGAATGAGATTGAATATCTTTTTACTCGTTTATCATCAATCTTAAAGATTAATATTAACATTTTTAATATTTATTCATTTATGATAAATTAACACATCATTGTGCCTTAAATAATGTATAAATATTCGTTTCAAAAAATATTTTATCTTTCAAACAGTAATGTGTCAGATAACAATTACTTTGGTGTTCATAACTTATGTAAAGCATGTTCAGTAAAATATATCTTCTCCATACCCACTTTGAGATATACTTAATTTTAAAGGAACTTTTATCGATGTGATTAGCGGTGATGCATAAGGCAACTTAGTAACGCAACTTGCCATAGTTGTTCATGTTTTCGGGATTATTCACCAAATCACTTCGTCTTCACGCAATTATCGTGAGATAGTTTCTTCAGACAAGTAGGCAAAATGAAAAAATTGTGTACGTTTTTTCGTGACGGGCAAGTGACAAGACTAGGTAGGTTTTTTGTTTATTAATTATTATTATTACCTGTTAACATAAATACTATTAAGGAAACTTCATTAAATTAGACCGTCACGAATTTATTATCAATGAAAGGAACACGAATAGCATAAATTCACGAACTATGAGCAGTGAAGAATTTCCAAGTATATTCGTTTTTGAAATTCTAACATGCATGCACATGAAAAATAGTTATATATGTGGCAGAGATTGAATGTACAGGGAAAATATTAGTTACCCATCTCAGAAAAATGAAAATTGAAATTTTAAAACATGAAGGGGTGGAGAAAATTTGTGTAGCCGCTTTCACGGGTTACATAATTATGATTAACGTGGCCAATGTGTAGCCACCAAAGACTGCATAACGGTTAAGCTAGGGTACTTGTTCACATATACCATCTTCAATAGACCCCGCTTCTTTGCTTTGAGTTTGTCCTTGCATTGCATTGCATTATCAAAAGAATCAAGTGTCAACTGCCAGCTGAATGAACAGGGAAAGAAAGTTAAAGAAATCATTTTCAGATCTTTAAGAAAGAGAAAGTAAAAGCAGTGTCCTTCAACGTAACCCCACATTTAGTTAGTGGATTTATTTGATAATACCTTAAACACAAAATAACTTTTTACATGGAACCGTATGATTAAGCATCATTTAACAGCACCACTATGTGTCAATAAAGGTGATTGTACTTTGCATCCATTTTTCTTTTTTAATTTGTAAAATATATTCTCATATCAACTTCATCAGGTAGATTTCCAGTCAATTCTTCTTTGCTGGCAGTAATAATAATAAATAGAAAATGATAGATACCTCACTGAATGCTCCAAAACACGTGTTATTTGGCTGATAATATATTAATCTCTTTGTTCAAACACCTTCATTTTATATACGTGTTACACAGTAGAGGGTAAAAATGAGGTAGGTTTTCTTTAATGTTTTCTCCATGCATTATTGTAATGATAGATTACCCTTTTCACCCTTATCCTTACTTTGCTTTCCCATGGTTTTGAATTAAAGTATCAAACAGAGGGCTTGACAGAAGCATTTCGGGAAGATATGCTTGTATGATTATTTAGAAAGTTTAATCAAAACCTTCACTTTTGCTTTTACCATGAGATGCTTACCAGAGTGTACTCTTGATGTGACGAAATTAAATAATTAAAGACTCGAGTCAAGAGTGTCCTTTGTTTTTTCCATTGTGTAAACAGCTTTCAAAATCGTAGCAAACACTATAATTACTTCAGAGAGACACATGATATTGTCACATTTGAAGTTTACTAGTCCAGCAACCTTAAAACTAGATATATATGCTTATATTATTATGTTTGTTTTATCTTTATAATAATAACTATTCTAGTGTTTTAGTCCCCCAATATGACGTGTGACTAAATTTATGGATGAAAGCAATATGACCCAGAAGATTAGCCATCATCACCCTTTCAATTTATTTTCACGACAAGGAAATGGAAAGCCATAATTGTTAAAATGCCGTGGTGCCATAAATGCTCCACAAATGCAGATAGGGATAAGTTAATGTGTTTCCTTATTGATTCTTGAGCGTAAACTCAAATCACGTGATATATTGGTACGATTGACATATAGTTTAATTCAGTGTTTATTTAATCATTTTTATTATAAGAAGACTTATACCATATATTAGAGTAATTTAAAGTTTTGTTTTATTTTTTATCCATACAAATTTTTTAATTATTAAACAAACAAAGAGAATATAACAAAACAGGTATCATCCATCATTACAACTTGCAAGATTATTCATTTTCACGGTAACGCTTTTTGATAGAGATAAAAAAAAAGACATGGTGGCACTAGCCACAACTATCAAAAAACAAATGAAGAAGTAGTTACTAATACTAAATAGAGATGGAAGCAAAATGATGTAATATAAGATCGAAAATTAAAAGAACAAATAGCCTTTTACACGCCCAAGGTCGAGGTAGTGGGCAAGTGGACCTACGGCGAATGTTATTATAAGTTAAAATAAAATTATATGATTCACTTAGTCAACAAAAGGAAGGTCAGGACTTACAGTGGGAAAAGGAGGCACTGTGGCCATCAACAACGAAAAGAAGGAAAGAATTTGAATACTTTGAAATTGTATTGCTTCCAACTCCACACAGGTCAAAAGAAACACTAACAGAGGAAGCAAAATACTTCAACTAGATAAAGGACAAAAGCATACGAATTCGAATATATGTTAAAAATTATACAAAAAATATTCGCTCAAAAGTTTTTCATAGAAAACCAACAAAATTGAATCTACTGAAGGAGACTAATTCCTCATAAAGTGTCAAACCATGGCTTCATATGAAAAAAAAAAAGCACCTATATTCAATAGACAATCATGCTTCAAGAAAAATTATTTCCTACGTAAAATACTTAGAACTTAAAAAAAAGTTTTTCATACAATACATTTGGAGATAGTGAAAGGAAGAGGGAAAGAAGACATGGAGCTTTTTCCCGTCTCTTCCTTTTTATCATTAAATTTCTTCCTTTTCCTTATTCCCTAAACATTACATTCGAACATGAATACATGTTGAAAGGTCAAGTTATTTACTCTTTAGGAAAGGGAAATGACAGAGAGAGACCAATCAACTACTTTGCTGAATCTTTAAAATAATTAAATATTTGAAAAATTAATTAGCCAATTAATATGACAATTTAATTAACAAAATTTCCACTCATTTAAAGTCAATAACCTGAATAGAATTGAATATGCTCACTAAATGGGCAAAATTTCTCTCAATGTCTCTCCTTTTTATTATTCATAAAATCCAAATAAAAGATTTCTTAAAAAATTTCGGGTTTCTTATCATTTAAACCAACAAGTATATGCGTTTCTTTTTCAACTAGATGAGCGTTCAAATTAACTAATTAAAAAAATTATCATGTTCGTGAGAGAAGTGGAAAAGAAAATCACTTTATCAAGCAGCCACACATACGCTAAAATGTTGGGTTCATTCACTTTATCTTTTCAGATTCTCCCCTCTTGTAAAATTAGTTAATATCGTGTTCTTTGATCCAGAGACAAATTTGGTGTTTGATAGTGACACCACCACCAACATCTTGTTTGCAACGTGGAAAAGAAACATCTCATTCCCACTCTCACATCGCAATTAACATTACCAATACTCTAACACCATTTGTCAAACAGTTCTACAACCCGTTTGCAATTTCACTTCTGCAGCCGCTACACAGTAACTACAACTCCAAACAAGTCTGGCAGCGGGAACAGGGACAACGAGTCATCAATTTTCAATATAAACAATGAAGTTTGGACACTAATTCTAGCTGAGCTAAGCGTATGGGCTGACTCATCTCCAACAAAGTTAATAGTGATAAGCATGAGTCGACCCCATGATATGCCAACTTAAACCACCTGATGATTGACCCCTTAATCCACAGACTCCAATTCTAAGAGGGTATATAAGTTCACAACAATGAACGCTTATATCACGAAGTTATTATCTATAGCTTTAGTCCCAACTCCTATCCATGGCCAACGAAAAAAGATAAACAGTTATTGAACTTGGTAATAATTCAGTCAACTAATACGACACGCATTAAAGCGATGTCACGTAAAAGAATGAAACTCCACCACAAGAAGAAATTATTTGTAATGTACTGTACACTTAATTTGGCAGCACAGATTAAACTTTCAACGTGTTATGCATTGATTAGATTCGTCCACTACTTGAGAATTTCTACTCCCAAACCTAAACAAATTTATCATATAAAAGTCAAGCGCCACTTAGATAGCTAAGTATTGTGGTCCCAGATTACAAAAATTAATAAGCATATACATGGACCAAAAATTAATTCATGATCTACAATTCCGCTTTTTAAAATTGACGTGTAAGGACCTGGTTTTTCCTTGCTTAGAAAAAATTATCATTTAAGTTAAAAATTTAAATTTAAAAAAAAATTGAATACGATCTTCAGTATTTTTCTTGTAAGGAAAGAATTGCTTCAAATCATAAATAATTTCTCTTCATAGCTTATCCAGACGTATCCAATTTTATTCGGCTGTGTCTAAATGATAGAGAATTTGAGATCTTGGAGTATTAACTGATGTTCTAGGATACAATAATAATTTCTCGCCACCAGGTACCGTAATTCCACAGGAAAAAACACAAGATGCATGCAGCAAAAAGGTCATGCTTGAAAACAATTCACTGCGCAAAATCAGAATATAATAAGCACTATCATCCACTACCGCTTAGAATGGAATTAACAAAATGTCGGACAAATGACTTTGCGAGCCAAGCATATAAAATAACTTCAATCCAGACTTTGGGGTCTGGTCCACCTACCTTTCGAGAAGCATAACCAATTCACAGTGTTGGGTATGTGGAAAAAGATCAACAGGTATAGCTTTTATGGGCTGGAAGGCCTCTGAGATGGGCATAGACTTGGCCCTGTGGCGGGCTAGACCAGCACTGCTCCTATTTCTCCATCCTCGATTATCTTTATTTCCTTTCTCAACTTTTATGGGGGAAGGAGTACAAAGCTCAATAGCATTTGCCACCAAACTTTCAGGATTACAGGATATGTAACTGCATTTAAAGGCACACAATTACGTAGGTTGCATAGAAAAACAGAAGTTGCTTAAACAATAATTCAGAACAAGAACTAACACAAGCCTCCGCAAGCGTGGATGAGTTCTCAAAGCTTTGATCACCTGTGATTTCACAAAGCAGGAGTCAGAAATTAAAATTAAGAGAAAAATAAAATAGATTAAAAAAATATCATTTAAAAAATTCAACATGAAGACTACCGTGTATTGTGGTTCTGCAATCAAATGAAACGAGAAAAATATTCCACTAAAAAGAAATGGAAGACCAATGATATGTAAGAAAAGTTACTATAATGATCATCTCTATAGAATTGTGGAACATGTCCCCACAAAACCAGATGGTGAATGCCCCATGGAATCGCATTACCCAGTCAAATTTTAGTAAAGAAGGGAGGTCTTATTCAACCAAAACGAGGAATGGGAAATGCAGAAGCGAGTGACAACCCTAGCTCCTAATGAAGGCCAAGTGAGTGACATTCAACTGCTCTCCCATTGAACTGCCAGACTAATGTTGTTCCAAAACCATATGCACTTCGAAAGACAATAACATTTCTCTCTAGGTAGTCTTTCAAAATGGGGTAGGCAACTCGAGAAGAAAACAAAAATTTCAGGGAAATAATACCATATTTTTAACCATGTGCTACTAGAATTATGGTAGTAACAAAAAGTAAAAATCTTACAGTTGGATGGAGTCCAGCCCGTGGAGGATCGACAATAGCAACAACATTTTTAAACTGTTCCGAGGATGTATTCCCATTTTCAGAAGCACTATCCTGCTGAACCACACTCCCTGCTTCGGCACTGTTATTTTCTGAACATCGAGATGCCATTTCACCATTTTCAGGCTCTGCATTGGCACTATCCTCAGGAATGTCCTTGCCACTTTTAGAGATATTAGGATCATCGACTTGTTCCTCGGGCACATTTAGGTTTTCCCCTAACACAGCTCCCATCGCGTCCTCTGCCTGTTTAGAGATCCCGTCAACTTGTTCAGAAGTGCTAGCTTTCTGAACCACATTTCTGACTTCTGCATCATTATTATCTGAACAACAAGATGCCATTTCACCATTCTCAGGCTCTGGGCAGGCAGTATCGACAGGAATATCATTGCCATTTCCAGATATATTAGGATGACCAACTTGTTCCTTAGTAACATCTAAGTATTCCCTTAACAGAGATCCCATCACATCCTCTGCCTGTTGCCTCATATAGGCCAGCATGCACAAGCACAACGTTATTACAAGTGAACCATTATATCAAATTGAAAATATTCCCATGAGACAAACTTTTCAGTATCAAACATTGCGAGACAAACTAAAAATTCCAGCCTTGTTTCTGGGCAGCAGCCATTCAATTATTCAACCAGAATATCAAATCTAGATTGCTTATCTCACCTTTGCACATATAAATTTAACATTTTTTATGCCATTAATCTCAGCATTCCTATGGGCATCAGTTACTGCAGAAGCATTCATTTCAATGCCAATCACCTGGAAGAAAAACCAAAACAAATCTGGCTCAAGCAATTTTAAAAATTAGGAATTTTGAAAAGTAAAATTGTAATTTATAGAGATTAGATTTAGGAAAAATGGCAGTCTGAATGTTTCATTTAACCTTTGCCAAAAGGAATCATTACATCATATATTATCAAATTCCAAAGGAACACATTGAACTGTCAATCTTCCAAATACAAGTAAGACAAAAAGAAGAAAGGAACTTATATGATGATTATTACCATACCAACTCGATGTGCTAAAGTCAGGCCAATAGTTCCTGTACCACAGCATATATCAAATAGCAATGTGTCAGGACCTAAGCATGCCCAATCTCCAGCTAGTGAGTATAACTTCTCAGCAGCAAGTGTGTTAACCTGCAATAGAAGTAGATTTAAAATTCCATATAACAGGAAAAAAATGCCCTCAAGATCAGTGCAAAATAATGGTTATCATTCCAACCTGAAAAAATGCTGTTGGTGATATAGAAAACTGGAGATTGCTGATATAATCATGGATTCTTACATCCGTGGCATTATTGTTTTCACCCATCTCTGGATCACCAACTGTTTTAGGAAGGGGAAGTGGATGCATGGGAGCATCAGCTGGCGCTACATTGGATATTCCTTGGTGATCCTACATGTAAAACCAATTACCACATCAGAAGTCATTAAGAATATTAAATTACATCATAACATTACATGTCATTAAAATTGAAAGCAAGCATTCAGGTATCTACCACTGCAAATCTACACAAAGTCATTGAGGAACCAATGAAAGGGGGATATTAGAAATTCACGGAGAGACTATTCTTCCCTACAAATAATTATAAAAACTTAAAACTACTTTTATATATTTGAATTGTCCATGTATCAGAAACAATAACTTAGCAGTGCTTTTTCAATTATTGCACATCGATCATAGTTACATTGCTGAAAAGGGAAACATATTTCCATAGTGCCCGAAGACAATGAAAGAAAATTCGAAGACTCAGTCCAGCCATTTTAGATCATTTATTCATCTGACATAGCCATGCAACAATGAATTTGAAAATTGAAATTTGACACACTGATACCATATAAGCAAAATGCAGATATTTGAATACAGATGGTAATGTTACGGATTTTTTTTTTTAAAATGGAACCTGAATTACTGATGCTGAGAGAGGAGAGTAACAAACCAATTATCGAGCACTGGAACAGTAGCATTATTGTACCCCTCGAATTTATATTACATGGATATGCCAATGTAAGGCAATTAATACTTAACATTCCAATCTCTGACAAAAAGATTTGGATTAGAAGGGCTGCTACCTGAACAATCAGAGCTGTAAGGGGTAATGTTGGACAATGCGAAGTAGCTCCAGCAACAAATGCCTGAGCAAGTCTCTTAAATTCAGTAGCTACTTGTGCAACATCAAAGTTTGCTGTAGAGACCTATAATCAAAATCAAAGGCAAAACGCTACAAATGATATTTTAAAGAGGGGTCACACATAATAAGCTTCAATTAATCGGGGGTATTTTCTCCCTATATAAATCATACCACGAGTCTACAATGTTTACATAATAATATCAGCCAGATTATTTTGTCTGGTCAATCTGTTCTGTTGCATCTAAATGTTCTCAATATTGTTGAGCCTTAAATATGGATTATGGACAACTGACAAACCCTGCCCACCCTTAAGAACATTATGAACATAATTTTTATTAGAAACTAACCCTCACATTCACCAAGAAAATATTTAAAACAAGAAATTAACCTGCACAATAAGCATGACCTCTGCAATACCATCAAAAGTTCCAGCATCAACAACACTTCCGTTTGTCCTCCCTTCTCGGACCTTGCAAGAGAATGACAAAATCAATTAGCATCAAAAAGGTTAAAAAAATTATCTAATAATATAAAAATTCCAGATTCAAAACTAATAATCAACATGGCCATAAAATTATCAACACCCAGTCCAGCAAAATTATACCGTCAATTGACGCCAAAATCCGGTATTTTTAAATCTGTTCCAAACTGGTAGATCACTATGCTGCAGAAATTCCTGAAAGATATTTGCATATTTGCCAGCAATCGTAGAAACATTTGGGCAGTCCACTGCTTCCTCAACTGCTGTTACACCCTCCCTGCTACAATATTTTAGTATACAACTAAGAACTTACAAGCAAGGCAATCTAGAAACAGAGAAGATACAGGTTACCTGAAGTTTCCAAGCATGAAGCCCACAGTCACTTTTCCTTCCAGAGAATATCCAACTGAAAATTCACACTTGTTACGATATCCATTTACAATTGGAGATGCAACAATACCCTCTAGTTTGCATGGAAGACCACCTGCAAAAGTGGCAAAATAACTGCATCAGGCATTCAAATCCTTACTATACTTTTTGAAGTAAACCAGATCACAATATATAAGAGGTGTACTAAATTACAAGAAACATCTGTGTCAGATATTTCCAAAATAACACCTTCATCCAGTCTTAAACTCCCGAACTAGAAAATAAAATTTCTCTTAGAAATTTGAAAGAACATTGAAGATATAAAACTGTACCTATTTCCCTAGACTTGAGAACCCACTCGGGAAGAGGAACACCGGTTGGACAAGCTTTACGAGCATTTTTAGTCTGTCAGAAAAAAAAAATTAGTAGTTCAGTTTCAATTCTTTATAAATATAAGAAATGTGTTTAATAGACGAAATTACAATGATAAAATAGAAATAATCATGACTAACAAGTTTTTTGAGAATCTTCACGAGAGAGTTTTTTTTCTGCTCCAACTGGTCAGCATAGGCCATATGAGCTAGAGGAGTCACTACATCCCGCACGTTTCTTGTCTTTGAAACGGAACCATCAAAAGCCAAGTTATCATCGTTCGTTTCAGCATCCAAAGTCTCACTTGAAGGAACATCAACCATTGGATTCTCCTTATCTAATTCTTGATGCAATGTAACATTGGAGTTACTTTTCTTTTCAAATGAACGAGGAATGACATCACCAACCCTTAAAGTTTTGTTGCTAATTGATTTTCCTTCTAAAGCCTATTAAATAAATAATTTCAAACCATCAATTGTTAATTTTCAATGCAGACCAATGAAACTAAAAGTAAATAATTCATTACTCACAACAAAAATACCTTCGTTGAATTCTTCATTTGTTCTTCATCTTCAAAAGTAAGAAAACCAACCGCCATACCTTTCTTTTTCTTAGCATGCTTAAAAGCAATACCCTGGAAAAAAGGAAACAAATAAGGATCAGAAGCTTCACTATGCAGATTCAGAAAAATGTTAAGCAAATTGCAAATCAAAAACTTGGAAACAACCAAAAAGGCTTGCCTCTTTGTTAAGAAAATTTCTCAAAACCTCGGAGCTCCATTTCATCGGCAAATGCATCAAGCATTTACTAAGTGCGTGACTGGAGCCACAACCATCATCTTCGCCGTCGGCATCGCCGTCGACGACGGCCTCCGTCATCATCACAACCTCCGAAACGTCGCGTTTCTCGGGCGTCTCAGATTTCAACGCCTTCTTCGCTCGCTCTGAAGTCTGGTCCCAAGTGTTGTCGGGCCGAGGACGGAGCTCCTCCTCGCCGTGCGCGTAGCGGCACGCGTCGCCGTGGCTACAGGAGCCACCGTGGCGCCTGAAGTAGGAACAGAGGCTTGTCTTCCACAGCGGATGGACCGAACGGTCAGCGTCGTCGTCGGCGTCGGCGTCGTCCCTCTGCCGTTTCTTAGTGGGAACGACGTAGTCGTTTTGTGGATGGATTTGAGCGTCTAGTGGAAGTGTTTGGTGCGGTTCCATGGTGGAATCGTGAACGTTAATTGGGTTTAGGGTTTTAGAGGAAGCGAGTTCGGTGTTTGGGTTTGTAAGAGGTTCCGCCATTGGCAACTGCACACACTACACACCGCTTTGCTGTGGTAACTGCTTGTCCTCGTTTCGAGTAGAAACTACCTGCGGTTTCCCAACACCGGTTTATTGGGCTTATTGGTACATAAGCCCATTATGACTCATCTAGGCCCATCAACTATCAGCCCAAAAGGGAGACTATTCACTCTTTTTGTTAATCAGTTTTTTTTTTTTTGTATCTTTTGAAAATAAGATTTCAAAACTTGAAAAAAAAATTAAAATGTATTATTAATTTATATAAACTAAATTTTGGAATTTAATTTTGAAAAAGTGGTATAAACAGCCATAATGCATGAAGGTATAAAATGAGTCTAGACCATTCTATTTAAAATCAACTATCCAAATTCACTCGAAGTCAGTGGCTTTTTTTTCTCCATGAAGTTAGAGAATTTAAAATTTTCATTTATCATCCTACCAGGCCCCATTTTTTCCACTAGTGACCAATATCACTTAAACAATATAGGAAATATTTTGGCATTATTTTAGTTTTAAAAAGTGTGTACGTGGAAATTGAGTTAATGCTTGATTAAATAAATATTCTTTGATGATTTAACACTTGCTTTCCATTTTGACTAAAATATAAAAGTAGACTCGTTTATTGATGAAAAGAGTTAAGAAAAATCAAAGATTGTCTTTAAATATTTAATGGTAAGTGGAATGAGATAAAATTAGATGAAATAGAATACAACAAAGAAAAATTGAATAGAACTGTTAGTTTGTTGTTTGGATATTTTTGTGATATAAATATAAATAAAATACTGTAAGAAAAAGTGGTTCGAGTTTTTATTTTATTTGAATAACTATTTCATTTAATCAAAACAAATATCATATCATACATACATACAGGCAAAAGTTAAACACTACCAAAGAGGTGGTTTAAGTTAATTGATTCATATAACCATCACATTTAATCAAAACAACATCATATATATTGGGAGTATAAAGGTTAAAAAATAGAAAGAGAAAATGAAAATTTCAAGTTGTTTGATTTAGACAATAGATTATAGAGTTTCGAAAATAATGAAATCGATGTATTAACATCTGATTTGAAAAAACAGTGTTTAATAAGTCTCTGTGCAATGAAAAGTTTACATTAAATTATATTAATATATGGTTTAATTAAAATAGAATTAATTACTTTAGGGTGATTGCAATTGATTCGAGGTAATATATTATATGTATCTTAGTATCTACATCTTTATCGTATAATGCAGTCATGTTTACCAATTTTATAATTTTTTTTCTCACTAAATCCCACTGACCCGTATTTTTCCATTAATTTCAGCAACGCATAGACAATATAGAAATTTTTTTGTCGTTATCTTAGTTTTATAAAAAAAAAAAAGTGTGTATATAGCAATTAAGTTATTACTTGATTAAATAAATAATCCTTGAGGATTTAACGTTTTCCTCCCACTTTTTTCTATCAAATATAGGATTAGCCCACTATTTAAGAGAAAAGTTAACGAAAATCTAAGGGTATATGTACAAAGTGAATGGAGTAAAATAGAATGGAATAAAATGACCAATTTATTATATAGTTTTTTTTATAATGGAATAAAAAATAAAGAAAAACAAGAATTCCATCCTATACCTCAAAAAAGAAAGTATTAAATGGAATAAAATAAAATACTATTCCTTCAATTTTGTTTCATTTAAGGTACTATATTAAAAAAATACAGGCAATAAAACTTTGCAAAGACAAAAGATAAGAAAAAGAAAAAATGCAAGAGAAACTATCCTTCTTCGAGGGAAGGTACCTCCTAACCACAAGGGTCCTCAAATGTGATTTTCCATATCCTTCATAATTTAAGCAAATCCTCTTATAGATGTGCTCTCATTATAATGTAACAAACTTAATGAAAAAAGCAAATAACAAAATAAAAAATTAAAGATAATCCAGCAAGGCAAAACAGAATCATTTAAAAAATATCTAATGTGGTCCTTATTTCAGCTTCTTGGGCATGTGGAAATCTTTCAAGTATTTGGGCCTGAACTTCACCCTCTTGCCTCGGCCTAAGGGTGGTGTGCTTTCATCTTCATCTCCCAAGTCATTGGGCTCCAACACATCCATATCCTCCTCAGGTTCTTCTGGTTCATACATAACATCCCCCCTTCTTGAGCAAACGCCTTGTCCTCAAGGTGTAAAGTAGGAAAATCTTGTGTGAGAGAGTGCAAGTCCTCCCAGGTTGTATCTTCTCAACAACCAACACAGTCACTGGGTATACATATGACTGAGTGAGAGAACTCTAATCTGGTAGTTCTAAGGGAACATCATATGGCAATTCCTTGGAGAGCTTCAACAGTGAAGCATGAAACACGGGGTGGAGTTTAGAAGAGGGAGGTAAGTCTAGCCTGTAAGCAACCTCGCCAATGCACTCCAAAATCTGAAAGGGCCCATAAAATTTCTTAGCCATCTTTTGCAAATGCTGTCCAGCAAGAGAAGTTTAGCGATGAAGGCGTAATCGCACCATGACAAGGTCATCAACCTTGAATGGAGTGGGTAAGCGGTGTCTGTCAACATAATGTTTCATAGCTGCCTGCACCTTAGACAATTTTGACTTCAGCTTTGCAAAGATCTCATCACATGTTCACAATTTTGTATCAACAGCTTCTAAGTTGGAGCTCCCTATGTAGCAACGAGGTATCAAGGGTGGTGGTTTCCCAAAAACCATCTCATAAGGAGTGATACTTGTAGAAGAGTGTACTGAAGTATTGTAGCATCACTCTGCCCAAGGTAGATATTAGCCCCAGGAATGAGGTTTACTATTAGCAAATGACCTCAGGTACTCCTGCAATAACTTGTTCAACACTTCGGTTTGGCCATCACTCTAGAGATAGTATGCAGTTGACATACGCAGTTTAGTTCCACTCATCTTGAAGAGCTGTTGCCAGAAATTGCTAAGGAAAATCGAATCTCTGTCAGAGATGATGCTGAGGGGCATTCCATGGTGTTTGCAAACCATGTCCACAAATAATTCAGCAACCCCAAAGGCAGTGAAATTCGGAGGTAACAGACCAAAGTACCCAGCCTTAGAGAATTGGTCAACAACAACCAAAATTATAGTCTTGCCCGTGTAAAAAGGTAAACCAAGCACGAAATCCATGGTAATATCCTCCCAAACATCATTTGGAGAAGGAATAGGGTGAAGCAACCTATACGGTGCATGAGTGGGGGGTTTCATCTGTTGGCAAACCAAGCAGCGTCCTACAAATTTTGCAACATCTTTTTGCATCCCTCAGTCTGCCATAAGTTTTCTAGACTCCCATGTGGCCACCTACAGGAGTATCATGGAACTCGTGTAACAACAATTGTTTCGGTTTAGAATTATCCCCCAAAAATATCTTTTCCTTGAAAAGTAACAAGCCATCCACAATTGTGAAATCCAGAAGAGAGAAATGATCAGCTTGGACTTGTTGCAAAATTTCAAAAATTGCATAGTCCTTACTGTAAGTGGGCTTCAATTTGTAAACCAATTCAAATTGAGGTACAGTCAAGGCTGACAATGATGGTGTTACTGTCGGGGTGATCTCAAGAGCTTTAAATTGACGAGAGAGAGCATCAGCAACACAATTAGAAGCCCCTGGTTTATACTTAATCTCATAATCATACCCCAAGAGTTTGCTTAAATAATACTGTTGTTTCGGACTTTGGATGACTTGAGTTATCAGCTCTTTCAGACTTTTCTGATTAGTGAGTATTGTAAAGCATTTTCCTAATAAATAATGACGCCATTTTTTGACTGCCTCCATTATAGCATGAAGTTCGCAGACATATGTTGAAAAGTGCACCAAACGGTCACAAAATTTCTTGCTAAAATAGCTAATTGGGTGCCCTTGCTACAGTTATACAGCCCCCATTGCATGACCTGAGGTGTCAGTTTCAATCTGAAAGGGAAGATCGAAATTAGGAAGCCCTAACACTAGCGCTTATGTCCTAACCCTCTTGAGATTATCAAAGACTGTTTGGGCATCCAAAGTCCAATCAAAAGCTTCTTTTTTAAACAGATCAATCAGGTACCCCTCAATAAAGAGGCGGTAGAATCCTATCAGTCCTAGAAAGCCTTGTAATTGCCTCACACTACGGGGAGTGGGCCAATTCACCATGGCAAATATCTTCCCTTCTTCTTGTTCCACCCTATTGTTGGATATGACATGCCCTAAATAGGAAATTGAAGGTTGAGCAAAGACACATTTGGACCTCTTCAGATAGAACTGATGCTCCAATAAGCTCTGAAAGACTAACCGAAGGTAAGTTGCATGGTCCTTAACATTGTTCCTATAGATTATAATATCATCAAAGAAGACGATCAAGAATTTCCTCAAATAAGGATGGAAAACGTCATTCATGGTACTCTGGAAAGTAGAGGGAGCATTACACAACCCAAAGGGCATTACCACAAACTCATAGTGGCCTTCGTGAGTTTTGAAAGCAGTCTTATAAATGTCCTCAGTGCTCATACGCATCTGGTGATAACCAGAACATAGATCTAAGTTGGAGAACCAATTCGCCCCAAAAAGTTCATCGATCAGTTCATTCACAGTAGGGATTGAATATCTGTCCTTGCTTGTTACCGAATTGAATGCCCTGTAGTCTATGCAAAAATGCCATGTTCCATCTTTCTTACGCACCAGTAGGACCGGCGATGAGAAAGAGCTCGAACTCCTTTGTATTATCCCAGCCTCCAACATCTCAGAACTTGTTTCTCTATTTCTTGTTTCTGGTAATGCGGGTAACGATAGGGTCTGACCACTACAGGATGGGATCCCTCCATAAGAGGAATTTTGTGGTCATGGGGTCCTGGTGGTGGCAAGTGGTTAAGAGGTTCGAATATCTAGGAATATTGTTAAAGAAGGTTATCAATGGTAGATGGTATGTTTAAGGGAGGATCCTGGGCCTCAGAGATGGATATGACTTGAATGTGGAAGTATTCAGAGATAGAATCTGTGGCATGCAATCGTTAAGTTGGTGGGCTATTATTTCATCCATTTTGGGCTGAGTAGAGTCCTGTAATTAGATAATTTTACC